CAGGGGGCTGGAAGGCACCTCTTTGATGCTGGACAGCTGTGGCCTTGAAGACAGCCACCCCTGTCTGAGCCAGTGGGTCGTGTCTGCCGCCCAAGACCATACAGAAGTCAGGAGCCAGAACTAGGATTTAACTGCAGAGACAGAGGAGTAGGGACCTGACTGATGCATCCCTGCTTAAAAAAAAATAATCAAAGGTTTTGCCCTGGCTAGTTAGCTAAGTTGATTGGAGTGCAGTCCTGGACACCAAAAGGTTGTGAGTTCAATCCCTGGTTGGGGCCTGAACAAGAGGCAGCTAATTGATCTCTCCCTCCTCCCTTCCTTTCTCTCTAAAATCAATAAAAGCATATTCTCAGGTGAGGGTTAAAAAAACAGGTTTTGAAGTGGTAAAGAGGGGTGACGGCCTGATTCTGAAATCTGCCAGTGACACCCCTCCACTGTGAGTGACCTCTCCATCCAGTTCGCTGAACTGTCGGGGTCTGTCCCATGAATGTTTCATTCCAGGTAGCACCTGAAATGGCCAGCGTTAGAAGATTAAGTAAACAGTCAGGAACTCATGATGCTTTTAGATACTAGAGTTAACTGTGTTAAAGCTGAAAAGTGAAAATGCATGAGTATTCTGTTTTTTTTTTTTTTTTCCCTCTCTGCCGTAAAAACATAGTTGGCCCCAGCTAGTGTGGCTCAGTGCATCAAGCACCGGCCTGCAAACCAAAGGGTCACTGTTTCAATTCCCAGTCAGGTCACAGGCCTGGGTTGGGGGCCAGGTCCCCAGTAGGGGGCGCACAAAAGGCAACCACACATTGATGTTTCTCTCCCTCTCTTTCTCCCTCCCTTCCCCTCTGTCTAAAAATAAATCTTTAAAAAAGTACCTGTCTGGTGAGACTTGTTCCCTCGGATACTCTGTGCATTTAAACCACAGTTGTACTTGCTGTGGCAGAAAATAATGACCTTGTGGAGGCCACCGGACTTGGCAGAGATGTAGGCATTTCATTGGAAAGGGGGCTCACTTGTTCCTTCCGATGGCGAGTCAGCCTCGTTCCTTTTATTTTCATTTTCCGGTTGGGTTTCCCGAACTCTGCAGGCAGCTGAAGTAGTTCTCACCATGGCTGATTCTCGCCATCTCTTTTCACCCCTTCTGCCTTCCCAAGGCATTGACGAGACCCATTCCCGGTGACTGAATTCGAGAGAGGCTGAAAAGCAGAACTCGCTCCCTCTTAATGAAGAGGTGCTGGGCTGGGCTGTTGTCACGGAGCCCTGTCCCTCTGGAGTTTTGTAGGGAGTCAGAGGACTCAGGGGCCTTTCGTTGTTTGCATTCCAAATCATCCTACGCTGAGATGTCTCAGAACCCATTGTGTTCAGGAGCTGGTGCCCGCATCTTACTCACCTTCATGCCCCTGTAAAGGGGGAAGGCTCAGTGTGTGTCTTCCCCTCTTGGGGAAGGAACACAGTGGCATTTCCACGAGGAGGCACAGTCATACCTGATCAAGAGCTTAACGAGAGGGGGAGAGAGACTGCAGACCCTGATTTCAACCGTGATTCCAAGTCCAGTTTTCGTTGTGGTCACAACTCTCAAGTCCAGTCTTGGCATAAGCTCAGGTCTTCAGCTGCAACCTCAATGGTACCTCATCTTAATACCCAGTACTTCTTCATCCTGGACCAGGTTCAATTCACACCTCAGTGTGGCCCCTGCTTCCTGGCCAAGCTCCTGCCTCCACACACCAGCTCATGCTCTGTCTCCTACTTCCACTGAACTTAGCCATGACTCTTGACCTGAACCTTGAGCTGCTCCCCGTAAAGCAAACTCAGCCTTGACACTAACACTAGGTGTCATCATAGCCTCAGTTCCAAACCCGACCCCACGCAGGACTCAGGCATCCGTCTGCATTCCTGTCATATAGTCCAGGAAGTCCACGTGGACGTCCTCGACTGAAACCACCTCCCATTCTCACCCAACACCAGTCCCCGCACTCTGACCCCATTCCCAGTCCCATTCTCATCCCCAGCTCATTTCCTACCTGGAATCCCATCCCCATTTCCATGTCCAGCTGCTCCCCCTACCCTTCGTCAACTGTGCATGCCAAATAGACTCGCTCACAAGAACTCCAGCATCAGCCCTGGCTGGTGTAGCTCAGTGGATTGCTCGTGGGCCTGCAAACCAGAGGATCACGGTTTGATTCCCGGTCAGGGCACATGCCTGGGTTGCAGGCCAGTTCCCAGCAGGGGACACACGAGAGGTAACCACGCATTGATATTTCTCTCCCTCTCTCCTTCCCTTCCCCTCTAAAGATAAATAAATAAAATCTTAAAAACAAAAAAAACCTCTACAGCACCAACACCAAGTCTACACTCAGTATGTCGATGTCGATCCCATGTCGATCCCATTCTGACTGAATACATCCAAGATAAGTTCCCAAACCTACTTCTCAAGGCAAATGGGAGGACTAATAAAACAATATTTAAAATGGGCAGGTGCCCCACAGGCACAGAATTGACATTTAGCTGCCTTACTGCATCATCTGGAGAATAAAGCAGCTTCTGTTTCTTGTTTTACATTCAGTGTGATGCGTCAGATACTCCTCCGAACTTTTCACAATTTCTCACATATGCTCAAGTGATGATTATCTTACCCATTAAAAAATATATATATTTTTTATTTTTAGAGAGAGGGGAAGGGAAGGAGAAAGACAGGGAGAGAAACATCAAGGTGTGGTTGCCTCTCATACACCCCCTACTGGAGAGCTGGCCTGTGACCCAGCCATGTGCCCTGACTGGGAATCGAACTGGCAACCCTTTGGTTTGCAGGCCAGCGCTCAATCCACTGAGCTACACCAGACAGGCCCCACTTTCTTTTTTCAATTGTTGTTCAGGTATAGTTGTCTCCGTTTGCATCCTGTGGATGGGGCAGCTTTGAAGGAGACTGATGTCAGTAGTGCCATTGTTTGGCCAATTGGGAGACAGAAAACACTGCTTCCCAAGAAACCCATCATGGGAGCAGGCAGCTGCGCCAGGGAACCCAGCCAGGTGCCAGAAAGAAAGGACTGACTAGCTGATTGATGGCAGAGTCAGGAAAAATGTCAGAGACTGATCCTCAAACAGGGAGTGGAAGGTTGTGCGTGGTCCAGCCTCAGAACCTGTCCTTCACAGGCATCTCCTCTCAGCCCATGTAAGTTCTCCCTCCCTGGACCTCAGCCCTGCAGACTGAGGTTACCAAAAAATGAAAGCAGGACTTCTGCCAAGATGGAGGCGTAGGTGGAAACACCTTGCGTCCTTGCGCAACCAAATCTAAAAACAACAAAGTTTTAACAACAATAAACATAACCAAACTACACAGAAAATTGACAATACGAAGTCCAAAAACAACAGAATGCTCAGCTAAACCGGTGAGAGGGGCGAAGCCAGCAGTGGAGCGGAGTGGGTTGGCCAAAAAGATCCCCGACCAGGAAGCTGAGGGCGCGGATCCCAGGTGCGGGCTAGCTATGGCAGACACAGGGAAGAGGCGCGGCTGGCTGTCTGCAGTCGGTGGAGCATTTCCATGCAGATAAACCAGTGAAGAGGCGAGCATTGAGACCGCATGGCGCAGGGTGGCAGGGTCGCACATTTTGCTCAGATAAACAGGCGGGGGCGAGCGGTGAGATGGACTGGGAGAGTGGAGAAGACCGCCATTGCTCCCTCTCTGACCCCGCCCCCACATACAGTGTCACAAACCAGCGACCTGGGTAGCCCTGCCCTGGTAAACAACGAAGGCTCTGCTCCTTATATGTAACAGGCACAAACAAATAAAAACATGGCTCAAGAACAACTCAGAGCCCCAGAGCCGATAAATCTAAGTGATGAAGAAATAGCCAAACTTTCAGATGCACAGTTCAAAACACTGGTGATCAGGATGCTCACAGAACTGGTTGATTTTAGTCACAAATTAGAGGAACATATGAAGACTAAACTAATTGAAATGAATGGTAATGCACAGGAAACCAATGGTAATGGAAAGGAAACTGGGACTCAAATCAAGGGAGTAGAGCAGAAGGAAGGAAAAAAAGACCAAACAGAAAAGAATGAAGAAACAAGAATTCAAAAAAATGAGGAGAGGCTTAGGAAACTCCAGGACAACTTTAAACATTCCAACATTCGAATTATAGGAGTACCAGAAGGGGAAGAGGAACAGCCACGAGTGGAAAACTTATTGGAACAAATAATAAAGGAGAACTCCCCCAATCAGGCAAAGAAAATAAACATCCAGGAAATCCAGGAATCTCAGAGAGTCCCAAAGAAGTTGGACCCAAAAAGGAACACACCAAGGCACATCATAATTACATTAGCCAAGATTAAAATGAAGGAGAGAATCCACTTCATTTAGAATGGAAGGACAGATAAAGTGCTTCTCAGATAAGACCAAATTCAAGGAGTTCATCATCACCAAGCCCTTATTATATGAAATGTTAAAGGGGCTTACCTAAGAAAAATAAGATAAAAAAGATGAACAGTGAAAAGACAGCAAACTCAGTTATTAAGAACCACACCTAAAACAAAAGCAAATTAAGAGGACAGCTAGATCAGGAGTGAACCATAGAAATGAAGACCATGTGGAGAGTCAGCAACAGGGGAGTGGGAGAAGGAGAAGGGGGGAGAAGGTACAGAAAATAAGTAGCATAGACAGTAGATAGAAAATAAATAGGGGGAGGGTAAGAATAGTAGGGGAATACAGAATCTAAAGAACTTGAGACACGTGTTCATGAACTAAAGGGGAGGAATGGTGGGGGAGGGGTGTGCAGGGTGGAGGGGAATGGAGGGGGGAATAGAACAAATGTAATGGCATAATCAATAAAAAAATTTTTTTAAATGAAAGCAAACATTCAACACCCCTTCTCCCTGTGCTGTGGGACCCACAGGGAAAGTCTTCTCTCTGTCCGACACAGGTGACCTCAGTGTGTGCGGACCCTTGGGAGCCCCCAGTGGCCACTCCTCCAGCCTCTTCAGGGGGTGAGAAGTGAGGGAGGAAAGAGGTCTCAGAGGTCGCTCACCTGGCTCAGGTCAGCCCCACTGCCACCTCCTGCACAGACCCTTCCTGGGTGACTTGCCCAGGGCAGACGTCCTCACACAGCTTCCAGAAAAGATTTCTACTTGTGCACAGTTGAGGGCGTCAGGAGAGTTCTCTCAGGGGGCAGGGGTTGTATGTTCCCAGAGACAGCACCCCTTTCCCTCCACCCCTGTCTGCATCTGACTTTCCCGGTGCACCCACAGCTGCTCAGGGCAGAGTCACAGGGCTCATTGTACCTCCTCACCACTTTGAACAAAACCCTGGTCCCTGCTGTTTCTTTTCTCCACCTGGAGGAGGATCACTGCATCTGCCTTTTGTGTCTCACCCTGAATCATTCTCACATTAAGTATCAGAGACTGGAGGACTCAGAAGTGCCCCCTAGTGATACTTCTTCCCCTCTCCCTCCAATCTCCTCACAAACAGAAACCACCAGGTTCTCCGTCTCAGCTAAATCCTATTTTTTTTCCAAATGTCACCTCCTCCTAGAAGCCTTCTCTGACCATTTTAATTAGAATGCCTGCTTTACTCCCTATCTTTTTTACCATCTATGACATGTCATTAACAACTAATTCTACATCGTATTTCATGTTATACATATTTGTTTATTGTCAATTTCCCCGCCTGGATGTCAAGTGCATCAGGATGCAGCCTCACCAGCCCAGCGCCTGGGGCCTGTCAGAACATCACTGGTACGTGTTAAATGAATGATTCAAAGTAGGATTCATTTTTCTTTTTAAGTAAATATTTATTTTATTTTTCAGTGGGCGAAATTCAGTATTATTTTATATGAGTTTCGGGTGCGTTTCATAGTGGTAAGGCAATTATAGGAGGTACATTTCCCTCCAATAATCTGAGTACCCACAGAATTCATCTTCCTGATACGCCTTCTAGCAATAGACTTGTGGGCAAACTCGTCAATCTGGCGCTTTCATGTGCCAGAAACTATATGCTCACATCTCGTTCCAGCTTCACAACATCTTTTGGAAGGAGGGATGCATGCATTCATTCATTCCATTATTTTACTCACCCAACAAAGTCATTCAAAAAATAATTCTTGGGCACCAACGTGAATAATAGAAATAGACAATGAATAAAATAGATACAATATGAGCCCTTATGGAGCTTTAAGATCTTTTGGTTCGTTATCCCCATTTTGCAGGTGAGGAAGGGGAAGCTGAGAGATGGGGAGGGACTTGCCCGGAGAGAAGGGACAGAGTCCTGGTTGATACCGATGTACCCAATGCACCAGCAGGTGGGTGTCCACAGCCTCCCACGGGCTCCCTAGAAATGCAAGTCAAATCAGCAGGCTCCCGGATCCTGGCTTTGCTGTGTCCTGGTGAATCACATATCCTCACTGAGCGGAGCCCTGATTCTTCACTGTGAGGCCAGACGAGGAGCTCCCTGGACTCCAGTGTCCCAAAGGGAGGACCTCAGTGGATGATGAGACTTTCGGGCTCAGAATGAAAGGGAGCTGGCCCTTCACTGTGGGTTCTGTGGCAGGAAGGCCTGGACTCCTGGGCCTGAGGGCTAAGGGTCTGGGAGACTTGGCTCCTAATTTTGTGCAGAGAGGGGTCTTAACTTTTTGTGTGTAGTGGGTCAATGGCTCCAGAGTTTCTACAACACAAGGAAATGTGGAGGAGTGTGGGTTCTTGGAGTGACTCAAGAGCACAAGGAAATGAGGAGAAACATGAGCAAGAATATAACATATAACTACCTGGCAAGTCAGAGAAGGTCAGTAACTGAACATAACCCCACAAGATATACTGATCATAAGATTTTTTTTTAACTGAGCAAGTTATTGCGGGAAGACATGTGCTAAAGCCTGTATGATAGGTTAACCTTAACCTTGAGCAAGCCCTGGCCATTGGTCTTGTGCATCTAGGAACGAAAACAACTTAACATGTCAGCATGCTCTGTTCTCCAGAACTGCAGAGATAAATACCCAGAAACTGGGAGGAGATGGCCCCAGCATTCCTCAGGTCGTCAGTCTTGTACCTGACTACCCTGGTGAACTCTTTGCTTGTGATGTTAACCATCCCGCATGCCCTGAAGAAGAAACATGTTCTCTCCATCCTACTATCTGTCCAGCCCTAGTGATATCTCGGCTTTCCTTTGTTTCAGTTCCAAGAGGACTATCACAAGTCACGGCAAAGAATTCACCCTCCAGACTCATAGTCCAAAGGAGCTGAGAGGCAGGGCCTGGCGTCTCCAGGTCTCCAGCCAGACTTCAAATGCAAATGCTGGGTTTTGTGAATTCTTAAAATTTTAGCTAGAATACTGTTTTGTAGAGTATGTGGGGGGAGAGGGGAAGGTGATGGAGCTCCGTGGGTGTCGGTCACCCAAATCCCAGACATTTTAAAAAATTTGTCAGTGGTCCAGAGAAAGGGTGAGGCTCGTGGTCCGGACTTTTGGGTGGAAAGGAGGAGGGGGCCCTGAAGCCAGAATGCAGGGCCTGAGAAAACGAGGGGTTGGAGCCTGGAATTCTGGGTCTGAGAAAGACAAATATTGGGTTCCGGGCTCCTGGGTCTGAGATATGAATGGCCTGGGGTTTGAAGTCCTGGGTCTGAGAAAGAAGGGAGTCTGGGTGTTCAAACTCCCAGGTTTGAGCAGAGACGGGGGCACTAGACTTTGGGCCTGACAAAAGGAGGGTTGGGAACCTTCGCTCCCGTCCTTTGCGTGAGGAGGGGTTTCTTGGTTTCCTGTGTGCAAAATATTTGTCTCAGCAACACGGTTGTAATATGGAGGTGTTTAGATGTGGGTACAGAAAGATTCAAAGGAGGGATGAGATGACAAGAGAAAATAATACCTGGGAGATGTTAGTCAGAAGGGACTTCTTAGAGAAAAACATGAAAAACGGCTGAAAGGGGTGATCTTGGTTGGGAGGAGATCCCTCAGTCAGCAGGGTCTGACTGCCCAGGGCGTCCAGGACACCAGGCATCAGGAGACCTTGCTAGGCTCTGAGTCACAAGGAACTGCTCCCTCCTCCCTCCTTCTTTCCAGAGTCATCCCCCCGCCCCTGAATTCTGTGAGGACAGGAGCCCACCTACACTGGCCTCTCTTAATCCAGACTCTGGCTGTTCGCTTGAGCAGACCCTCGCGGGACTCCCATGTCCTGTCTCAGAGCCAGCACTATCCATCTTGCAAACCTCCTCCTTCTCTTCTTCTTTGTCACCTGTGAAATGCTCATTCCTTTGCATGCTTACGAAGGAGGCATTTCTGTCCTCCCTCCTTTCTTCCCTCTCTTCCTTCTCTCTCTCTCTCCTTTTCCCTCTCTCCCTCATTTTTTGGGGGGGGTGGGGAAAACCGAGGTCTGGGAAATGTAGAGAAACATGCCGCTGCACCAGTGAGGGGTGGGGGAAGGAGACAGAGTGAAAGCTCAGAATCAGATCCATATTCCTTTCCCATCTCCCTCTTTAAGGTCTCTTCCCAACCTGAGCTCTTCAGAGGTCCCCACCTGCATCTTTCAGGTTATAAACATGCACAGGTGCAGAAAGGGAAATAGAAAGAAGGAGGTACCCATGACTATGTCCATGTACAGTTGGTCCATGCCCTGTCCGATTTTATTTTGTGACCATTTTGTTTTACATGGTGAGGGCTCCATTCATCTACATCGTTGTATCTTTTTTAAATTTTACGTCAGATAGCATTAACGTTTTTGCACGACATTAATAATCTTGTGTAAGTGTTATCTTGAGAAGCTTCATGAGTATCGTTTTCCTACATCAGTTTATTTTTTACGTAAAAAAATCCAGTAATTTGGGACATGTTCAGTGTTGCCATGGTTCTTCTGTGACAAGTGATGTTGTGATGATTCCGAATCCTGCCCGCATTTTGAATTTACTAAAATTACTAGGTCAAAAGGGCTCAATAAGACTCTGGATTCACTGTACTCTGCCTTCCTTCTATAAAAATTGTAGTAGTTTACAGTCCCAGTGGTGAAACTGCAGGTCTCACTGCACCTTTACCAGCCCTGAGGTTTTTGAGTTTTGTGTTTATTTATAGGTTTTTGATCATTTTATTTATTATTTCTTCTTGTTCAGTTACAGCTGTCTCCCTTCCCGCTCCCCCTCCCGGTTGCTTTCCCCTGCCCTGTCCAACCCCAGTTCCCAAAGACACTCACCACCCAATTGCCCTTGTTCATGGGTCCTTTGTACATGTTCCTTGACTTTGACCCTTCCCCTTCCTTCTACCATTATCCCGCCCTCCCCCCTCCCCTCTGGTCACTGTGACTTAGTTTCTTCACTTCCATGTCTCTGGTTTTGTTGGGTTTTTTTTGCTCGTGAATTTGTTTTGTTGATTAGGTTCCACTTAGAGGAGAGATCTTTATTAGAATATTGTTGACATTTAAATATGATTTTGAAAATGATAAAGTCAAAGTCAAATGTGGCTATCAATCATGGGTGTCTTTATTTCTGTGAATTTCCTGTTCAGGGCATAGACACGGAGAGGTGGGAGTGTGGAGAAATTAGCAATTATTTTTCATGGTTTCGTAAATCCATTTGTGGTACTTGCATAGGCGGATGTAGATGATTGGGTCGAATGGAGGTCGACAAGGAAAATAGGCGGAGGTCACCAGGCCTTGCAGGGAGTCTCCGCACATCAGTGGATTGCCCGAGTCCAGCTGGAAGGGAAGGAGATTAGCTTTAGCTCCAGAGCAACCATCACTGAGGTCTTGTATACTTGATAACGAGGTTATCAAGTCTTTGTCCTGCCAGACCCCAGCCTTCCACTCTGGCCAATGAGAAGAGACTCATTGTCTCTGTGAACCAACGGGAGAGCAGAGATTAATGCTACCTTGGAAAGAAGAAACAAGTTTTTCTGAATACATTGGTTTGAGCATTGGCCAATGGGACCAATCACCAGCCAAGGGAGTGGGCGGGGCTTCCAGGGAATCGGAGCCCAGTTTTTCTTCCCCATAGTGAACTAGAAGAGGGAGCATTATCTCCAGGGAATGTTAAACATTCCTTTACTCAGGGTTGGGCAACAAGGTAGTCCTCAAACCAGGGGCCAGACTAATGCCATAATTTACAGGGTACATTGCAAAGTAAAAGTACGGACTACCAGGTTCAAATATATGAAGTTTAAGAAGACGAGAGGAGCACGTTAAACCAAATGTGGGACTGTCCCCAATGTGGGTCTCTGTGTCCCAACACAGCTTGCACAACGGTGGGGGACAAGGGGAGCCCGTGAGTTTTTAGAACACACATCCCTGTCCCATTAACCCTCTAACACACATCATTTCACCTTCCTGGAAGCTGAGAGTGCAGATGTGATAGTCAGGTACTAAGAGGTAAGGGATGAGAGTGGAAGAGAGAGGGGTAGAGAGAAGGATGTCGAGAAGAAAGGGAAGCAAAAAGAAGAAAGAGAAGCAGAAATGTTGGGGTGTGGCAAAAGATGAAGATGGAGAAAATGAGTGATAGAGGCAGGGGAAGAGGGGGAGAGGAGAGGGAAGGAGAAGAAGAAGAAAAGGAGGAAGGAGGAGGAGAGAGGAGAGGAAGGAGGGAGGGAGGAAGGAAGAAAAGAAAAAGGAAGAGAAGAGACCCCAACAGGGGTCAGAAGAAAACAAGGAAATGAAATGAGGTGTAGAGAGAAATGAAGCAAGCTTATTCTCAGAAACAGAGAGGGGGTTACTGAGATGAGGGAGAGGGGACAACGGAGAAGGAGGGGCTAATTCTTTTCCAAGAATTAGGACCAGGGGCAAAGATAGAGAAGCAGGACATTAACCTCAGGCACATCTCAGCGACTGCGATGAGTATCTTACAGCAGACCTTGAAAATCAAATTTAATATGAATATACTTATGACAAACCAGTATTCCAACTTCAGAGAAACACAGGGTCAGCACAGCTAGGAACCATACAGGAGCCGGAGGCGAATAGCAAATCCAGTCAATTCTGATTGCTCTTTGTTGAAAAGTTTGATATTGTGTTCACACTGAATTTTTTTTTTTGCATGAAGTATATTTAAATATTTCATTGGAATAGGATTCATCTTGGTCACTGAGCTTGTGGTGCCCCTTAAAGTTTTGCTCAGCAGCCTGTGTCTCCCTGCTTTTTCCATGGGCTCACCCCATTTCCCCACCTTCAGTTTCTAACCTTCAACCCCGTGCCTGCCCCCAGGGCCACGTGGGCGGCCCCCCCAGGGCTCTCACTCTGAACGAGGCAGAGAACTGAGTGGAGAGAACAGGACCGTGAGACTGGCCAGGCGCAAGGGAAGGCTGGGCGCCAGGGCCAGGCCCCCAGACTCCGGGTGGAGGGAAGACCACCGGCCCTACCCTGAGAGGAAGTGGGGACCCAGGGCAGGAGAGGAGGGGACTCACTTTGCACATGTAGGAGAGTCTGTTGGGGGGAGCAGCGCAGGTCATGTATCTTCTTGATATTGTGGAGAAAATCTTCTTGCAGTACATGTAGGGGTAGATGTTGACGTTTGAGCACATGAGCGCTTCTGGGTATGTCACTGTTGAGAAAGATAGTGGGGCAGTCAGAAGCTTGGTCCAGTAGGCCCACGGGGGCTGATGTAAAGAGTAGGGGGCCCAGGATCCTGAAGGAAGAAGGAGAGGATGACCCAAGGCTGTGGTCATGAAAAAGAGATGTATCTCTTTGGACTGCTGGTCCCGAGGGTGGAAGGGGCTTGTGTTTGACCTTCTGGGATGGAAATTGGAAGGGACTGAGGGCCTGGATACTTGGGTCTGTGGGAGGAGACCCAAGTGCCCTTGGGGCAAATGCTCTGGCGTCGGAGGGAGGTGGGAGCTGGGTCCTGCATACCTAGATCTCTGGAGATGCATCTGGGGAACACGAATTGTTGGTCTATGTGAAGAGGTGGCTGGGGTTCTAAGCTCCTGGGTGTGTGATACAGAGTCTCAGTTTCTGGGACAGAAGGAAGTGGGACTGGTGGGAGGGGGACTAAAGTTCAGGGCTCCTGAGTCTGATGGTGTAGGGCCTGAGGGACTGGGCACCAGTGCAGAGGAGGAGAGAATTGGGGGGGGGGTCCTGGAATCTTGGGGCTGTGACCTGTGTCCTGGATCTAAAAAAATAAAAATAAAAAAAGGGAGCTGGGTCTGGTTCGAGGGGTCCCAGAGGCAGCCTCACCTACATCCATGGCGATGCTGCCCCAGCCGGAAACAGAACATTTGGTTCCTGGCGGTTTGCACTGGGAAGACACGTGGATGATCTTCACCGTTGGGGACAGCGGGGCTGGAGCGGTCAGCTTCACCAGCATGAGGTCATGGACGTGTGTGACTTCACTGAACCGAGGGTGGATGAACGACTTTTTGGCCCGGATTCTTTGCGAATCCCCATGGAGTAGAATATCACTGCCCATCTGCACAACGTACTCACTTAAAAACCAGAAACAGCCGTTAGAAAGAGACGGTGTGACTGAAGGAGGGGGTGCCACGCCCTACAGGGAAGGGGACAGAGGCCCACTAAGGTGGAGAGGCTCAGAGAGACGCAGACAAGGACGCAGAGAGAGAGAAATGCAGTTGCTGTGGGTCCCCTGCGACGTACCTCAGGTGGCAGTGGGCCACCGTGAGCACCCACAGCTCGCCGATCAGCACGCCGGAACAGTGGAACTTATGGCCCTGAAACAGGGCCACCTGCCAGGGCTGCTTGCCTCTTGGACATGGAGATCCATTAATCATCCTTTCCCTGGTGCTGTTGGCTGCATGGAGACATGGGAAGAGCGTGGTAGCAGGCACCAGGGGAAGACTGAGGTCATGACAGATGGATGCCCAGAGACAGGGATGGAGAAAGGCAGACAGGCGTGGAGAGGGGCAGTGGCAGAAACTGAGTGCATTGCAGAGAAAGCTGCAGATCGAGAAGGGGACCCATGGAGGGAGCCTGCTCAGAACGCAGGGTGGGGGCAACCCCAGAGGCTGATGGGGGAGAGACACGGAGGGCAGGAGGCAGCCTGGAGGGTACAGGGACCCCAGGAGTCAGAGGGAAGCAGGAGGAAAGGGGCCCCAGGGGGAGAACCCTGTCTTGCCTGGGAGGAAGCTGCTGGGGGTGGGTGGGTCAGGGTCCTGACTTTTTGGACAGAGAAGGTAGGGACAGTGTCAGGCATAGGGCAAGGACAGGCCTCCCCATCTGGCCCTCACCTCCTTGTCCAGCAGCTCCCAGGGTTAAGGACAGCAGCAGGATCAGCAGGGGCATACGACGGGAACCTGCCATGTGGCCTCTGGGAGCCTCTGGCGGCTGCCACGTGGAGGGAGGAGGAAAGGCGTCCTCTGCTGGGGTTGTAAAGACAGAGTTCAGGACCCAGGGGCCCTGGTCCCCAGGCCCTTCTGCGCCCTCAGACCCGGGACCCCTAGTCTGCACCCTTTCTCCTTTCTCAGCCTCAGAAGTCCAGGCTGGAGATACCCTTCCCTACTCAGAACCTCGGCATCTGGCTTCCTGTGTTGCAACATTTATAATTCTATATCCCAAGTCCCTTTTAGGTAAAAGACAAAAAACTCCTGGCCTCCCACCCCTCTTTCTCACAACCAGAAGTTTCGGCCCCTATCGCTCCCCGATTAGGAACAAGAGGCAGCTAGCGGTGCATCCCTCAGACACCAACCTCACCCCAAAGGAGACTCCTCACCTGTGGCAGGTCTGATCTGATCTGGGCTCCAGAGCAGGTTGGGATTCAACTGTGCCTGGCCCTGCCCAACACCAGCCTTCTTATAGCGCACAAACCCCATCCAAAACCCAGGGTCATGGAGTGAAGGCGAACTCAACTCTGGGACGCTCCTACCTGCATCGTTCTTATCTGGAACCTTTGAGGCAGCTGGAGCCATTGGCATGAACACTCCCTCTCCCTCCACTTCCAAGGCCAGGTTGGGGCAGTACCCAGGGGGTTTGGCCCCAGCACAGCTACCCAGGGTGGGGCTGGGTGCTGGCACTCAGGGGCAGGAGCTGGGGCCAGGGATCTGCCCAGCTCAGGAATGGACTGGGTCCTGGGTTCTACAGGGTGGCCAATTTTCATTCCCTCAACTCCTACCAGGGGGTGGCCTAGACCTTTCCCCCTCACTTTGGGCAGCCTGTGGAAACTTGTCCAGGCTGAATGCCAGATGAGCCCTTGAGCTTGAACCCAACACCAACTCTAATATATGGGGGTGAATCAAAGAAGAAGGCTCTGCTAACTCCACCCACCAAACTATTTCTAAGTGAAACTGCTTACTGTTCCACTTAGATTTTTATACACCTTATGTATTTGCAACAAAAATGTCTGCACTCAACATTATCTGATGTTACCTTTTATTTACTCTATAGAATCTATGGAACAATTTTTTTTTTGGTCTTAGGACATTTAGAACACTTCTCCTTTAATAATAGTCTACACTAGTTTTTTTTTTTTAAATTTATGTGATGTTTCACTTCGAAGTAGATTTAAATCAATTTCACTAGGACAAAGGCAGGTTGAATTTCTTTTTTTTTAAATTTTTTTATTGATTATGCTGTTACAGTCGTTCTATTTTGAATTTCTTATATACTCATCTTTTCCCATTGTAGTCACTAAGGAAGTTCCACTAACCATTTACTTCATTGCCGAATCTGTTCTGGGCGCTGAGGACACAGCATCAACAAAAGGGCCAACATTCTTTCACAGAAGCTCTCATTCCAATCAGGGGTGTTCTTTAGTAAAGAAGAAGAAGGAGAAAAAGAAAGAAGGAGGAAGAGAAAGACTTTGAAGTTATAGTTTATTATGTGGCTGTAAGTGCTGTGGAGAAAAATAAGACCAGAAGGAGAGAGAGGGCATTATTGGTTTCCCTTTTTATCAGTAACCCCACAGTGACAACATTAGGAAAGGTGGTTGGAAGAATCCATGTGAAGAGGATATTTAGACAAAATCTTGAAGAAGGGGTGGATGGATTCATGTAGCTACTCAGGATCAGCGAATCCTAAGCAGAGTGAACACCAAAATATGCCTTCATTCCTTAGTGTGAGCCCACTTTTTATCTCAGACCTGACCTTTAATGCAATTCTCTCTCTCTCCCCCATAATTTGGCCCTGTAATAGACAATACTGTGGCTTACCCAAGCACTAACTCCATCTGCCGTTTGTCAGAACCCCGAGTTAGTTTGGGTGATCTGCTCTCCTCATGGTAAGTACAGAGAAGCTTTACTGGGCCTTTAGAGCCACATTCTGCTTTGCAGGAATTGGTTTAGACATGGACATGTGACATCCTGGGGACCAATGAGGAGTGAGGGGGAAAGCACTGGGTTGCTTCTGGGAACTGCTTTCTGCTTTCCAGGGTGAGACACAAGCCGAGTTCTCTTTCTCTTGTTAGACGGTGTCTCTTGTGGATGTAAATTCTGGAAGTGAGGCAGCCCTCCTGGAACCACGAAGGAAAGTTGCCAATAGACAAAGCCGTAGCCCCAGAGATGGAAAAACAAAGAGATGGAGAGAGTCAGGGTCTTTGGTGAGTTCGCTGAGCTGATGAATTAATGCTCCACAGAACCCCTTCTTTGTTCATGTCATCTTCAGGTTTCCTTTCTGGTTTAAAGTTTTTTTGTTGTTGTTGCCACAGCCAAACATTTAAAAAAATTCAAATATCAACGTTGTGTCCTAATTTCATACCAACTTGAGAATTTGATCCCAAACCATACATCCAAATCTAATTCTAACTAGAGTGCCTATGTGGAATCCAAATTAACCAATATACCCAACCCTACCTGCAGCATAGCCCTTTCTGCAGTTCTCCCACTGCATCTTTCAGATTCAATCATTTATTCACTTAGTTAATACGTATCGAGACAAGCCCTATAGCAGGGTGGGCTACAGACCTGGACACAAAGAGTTCCTTCCTTCAAGAAAGTCACACTCAACTGTAAAAAGAAAAATAATCATAACATTGGTATATAAAGAGAGTAAATTTACTTTAATGAGTGCTTTGAAATAAAGGTACAAAGGATTATAAAAAGCCCTTCCAAGGAGGTTTGACTCAGGAGGCAACGAAAACCTGAGAGTGGAAAGAAAAATAAGCATGAGCTAGAAAAAGTGGAGAATATCATGTAGAAGAAATAGCAGGTGCAAAGGTCCTGAGATCAAAGAGGAAATGTGGATGGAGCTCAGGGAACAGATGATGTCTGGCACAACACAACAAAGCACCTTGGAGGTCATGGTCAGTTGGTCTTTACCTTATGGACAATGGTGAACCACTTGGACTTTATTCAGAAGAGGGACATAAAGTCTTTGTATTTTCATAATATCAGTCTGGCCAATATGGAGGAGGATTTGAAGGAGATGAACAGACATGAGGAGGTCATTGCTGTTGTCCACGTGAGAGATGATGATGGCTTGGATAAGGCCATTGGGGAGGCACAGATGGTAGGTAACAAATGGAAGGATTCATGAAACATTTAGGAGAGAACATCAACACACCATGGTGATGGATTAAATGCAACTTGTGGTGAGAGAGATGGAGAAGTTAGGGCTTCAAGGTCTCTGCTTGATGGACAGTGTTGCCATTCAATGAGAAGGCATGGTTGGGTTTTATCAAGAGCTTATGAGGGGGTCGGCAGGACTGCAGTCCCTGATTTTAACAATAATTCCAACTCCAGTCTTTACTTTGACACAACTGTCAACTCTAATCTTGACACAGGCTGGAGACTTAGCCTGTGACCCAATCCTAAACCTCGATATTGCTGTATTCTTGACCAAGTCCAATTTATACCTCAATGTGGTATCTACAACCTGACCAAGCTCCTGACTTCGAATATCAACTCAAGCTACAACTCATACCTCAGCCAACCTTAACCCTGACTCAACTTGAACCCTGAACCCATAGTTAAAAACCATACTAAACCTCATCCCAAACACTAGATGTCTCCATAGAGTGGTCCCCAACCTGACTCCAGGCATGATGCAGATTTCTCTCTGCCTCCCTGTCCTCTTCCAGAAAGACCATATTGATGTCCTCATCATGAAACCAGTTCACCTCTGACACCAGTTCTAGCATGGATTCCAAATCCCAGCTCCATACTAACTCCCAACTCAATTTCTATCCAAAATTCTAGCCTCTTTTGCATGTGCAACTCTTTCCTCACTCTTTTGTCAACTCTACACACCTTCTGGACTCCTCCTTTCACCAAATCTCTGACATAGTCCATTCGACAACAACAGAGTAATGTCAACACAATATTGAGTACATCAATCCAAGCCAAGTTCTCAAATCTACATCTGAAGACAAATGGGAGGATTAAATGAAATGATGGAAGAAAGACAGATGGGCACTAGCAGGAACTCAATGAATATTAGCTGCCTTGCCGCATGATCCAGAGAATAAAGCAGCTTCAATTTCTTGTTGTATGTTTAGTATAATGAGCATTTAGTATAATTTCTGACACTTGCTGGAACTTGTCATTATTCCTCATGTAGATTCAAGCAAGTATTGTCTTCCTTATTTTTATAGGTGAGAAAAAGGAGGTTTAAAGTAGATGAGGCTTCCTGAGCAACGTCATTCAGTTCAGGAGGCAAAAAAGGTAGGATTCGAATGCTGGGAGCTGCTGATGGCCTCACTATTGCATAAGCTTATGCTGTACGAAAGAAATGTTCCCAGACACCCTCCTATATGGTCAGATTCCCAGCTGACTGAAAATAAATTCAGGACCCCATGACTCTATTCATGATGCAACCCCCTTGTTGGCAAGAATCCCAAGTCCCACACTTGCCATGACCTTTGGTTTAGTCCTAGACCTGGTCCCAAATCCCACCCACACACTCCAACTCATGTCACCCTGGTTCTTCAACCTGTCTCCCGAACCTCTGCCTCATGACTCATGTTCTAGCTCATGATCACACCTAAGAACTAGCATCTAAGTGTCCTGCCTGCTGTGTCTTGCCCTGGGAAACAATGATCCTGGAATTTTCTGATTCATCACCTTGGGTTTTGACAACCCATTGTTTCTGAGTGACTGGATTCATTTCCTTCTACTTTAAGAACACATTCCCACTTTGGGGGGAAGCTGCCTCCTAAATTTGTTTTGGTGTAACAGCCAAGCATACCTCTGTAAGCCCTTCCATCACTTAGATATATGCGTGCAGCAGTGGAAGCTAAAAAGAGCACCACGTCTTCCCTAGAACGATGGATCCGAGCATGGAGGGATGGGCTTTGTTCAAGCTGGACCCATTGGATATCTTCCCTGGGACTAATATCAAGAGGCCAGGAGAAAGGGAGTCTTTGTTTTTGCCGGGTTTGCTTAACTGAGTCTGTAGCTTCTATGTTCTTTCCCAGTTAACAGAGGCTAGAACGAGATACACGAAGGAAGGAAAAACACAAGCAGAGATGAGAAACGGCTGAAACACATCAGAGAGGGAAACAGAGAAAGAAAGAGGCAGGCAGAGTGAGAGAAAAAGAGAGCTGATTGGCCTGTGTAACCATGTCAACAACTTGACACTCTGGTACTCACGTCACTTCCTCTGATCATGAGCTGTGCCCTCAGCCTCCTTAGTCACCCTAGTGGGCCAACCCCGTCTTGTGCTTCAACCAGTTTGGATGGGGCTCTGACACTTGCACCCAAGTGACCCTCAACTAAAGCAGAACTGAGCTCTCTATCTACGTGGGTCCTTCCAGCTTCTGTCCCTTCCTGGGTGCTCTGACCCTCTGCCAGACTGCACAGTCCTCTCTGTTCCTGAATTTCTGATTCACCTTGGACAAGTCACTTCCCCTCCATGCCATCAGCCACCCAAATTGTTAATACCAGAAATTAATCTCTCTATGTACAGGAACACAAACAAGATGTCTAAGAGTGGTGAAGGAAAATCCTGACCAATGAGAGAAGAGGATGGTGACTGGAGGGTCCAATCCAGATAGGAGACAATAGGGACTGAGCTGATAACTCTTCCTTCCTGGCCTCTGGTGTGGAGAACATTGACTCCAGTTACTAAACATAGAAGAAATGGGTAGGGTTCTTTGGACAGGCACATACACAGAGACAGTGGTGGGAAGGTCTTAGGAAAGAAACCAATGTCTCTAGGAGCCATCCAGAAATACTGGACTTCATGGCAGGAGCACTGATGGAATGACAGTGATCCTGGCCAATGGGGAAGAGTGCATGTCACACACTTACACCCACTGGGGAGAACCACTTCATCCACATCTCATAAAATGACTCCAAATACCCACTGATTGGATGGGATTGGTCAAACCATTGGCCATTCAGTGTCCTATGAGGTTTCTTAAGGAGAAAAGTTCAGCTGGACCACTTAAATTTTCTTTCCTGAAAATATGATCTAAGAAATCCTGAGAGCCCTGGCCAGGTGGCTCATTTTGTTTGAGTATCATCCAGATACTCCAAAATTGTGGGGCATATACAAAAAAAATCAACCAACAAATGCATAACTAAGTGAAAAAAGCCAACATTTCTCTCCCTCTTTCTAAAAATTAGTGAATTAATTAAAAAAGAAAACCTGAGAGAGTGGAGCAGGTGGTGGCTGCAGGTGACGTTAAAAGGTTGTGAAGGAGAGAGAGAAATGGAGGAGGGTGTGAGCTAACACTATGAAAATGCAGAAGCAGTGAAGTAGGGAGAGGAGTTATAGCATCGACAGGAGCTAGACACAGGTGGGAACCAGTCTCCAGCTTGTTGCAATTCATTTACATCTTCAGCACTACCCACTCCACACATATCTTTGTCCACATTTTTCAATCTGGACACCAGCAATGATGTGCCTCCCTTCCTTCTACCGCAGCAGTTACATCCTGACGGCTCTGAGCCGTGAGAAAGATTGCTATTTCTCCTGGAGCGGGGAGCAGGGTCTTGGTCTCTCAGACATCTGGGGGCTTTCAATCCCCTATTTCTTCACCTGGGTGATGGTTTCATGGGTGTTCACAAATGTATATTTAAGCTGTGTATATATTTCCCGCATCCTACTCTGAGGATCTCTAAGTTTTAACAATGGAGGAAGAAGAATCTTCCCCCCCCCCCAAAGTTTAAAAACAATTTAGCTGCCCGGGAAAAGGAGGCATAAACTGTTTCAAGCTTGTGTTTCACAGGAGAGGCCACTGGATGTTAGAAAACTCTTATGTGTCTTCTGTCCCCCGAAATGAACCTCCCCCCTTGCTCCAAGTCCTTCCAGAAAAAAAATGGGTTCCTGCAGGCAGTGGTGATGGCCAGAGTGACCATGGGGTCCTGGCCTCTCTAGACCTCCTGTCAAGACTCCCATCAGGGCTCCGATTCTGTCCCTCCATGCCCACCCCCAGGGCCAGAGCAAGACAAGCACAGAGCCAGGCCATGGTGTTGAGTTTATTGAGGGGGATCTGAAGCTTGTCTGAGGCTCAGCTCCTGTTGCCTATGGTCTTCTTGATCCAGTCCAGATAGAGGCAGATGTTGGTGTAGACACCAGGTCTCTTGGGCTGCCCACAGGGGTCTGATCCCCAGGAAGTGATGCCTTGGAGAACGCCGTTACACACCAGTGGGCCCCCGGAATCTCCCTGGAGGGGGGTAGGGGGAAGATTTTGACCAAAGATGCCTGGCTGTACCTAGCATTTAGTACCAGCTCTGTACCATGATTAGTCCCCTGCAGCCCCTGGGGATAAGAGCATTGTCCCCTGGTTCCCAACTGTGGGATAGGGTGAGGGAGCTGCTCAGAGAGAGGAGTGGGGCCTCCCCTGCTGGCGGGAACAAACTGTCCAAGGAGGGTGAGGGAAATGCTGACCAATGAGAGGAGAGAGGAGAATCTCGCTCTGGCGGGACCAATCTAGAGAGAAGACAGCAGGGGACAGAACTGATATGTTCTCCAGTTACCAAACATGGAAGCAAAGAACACTGTTCTGTAGACACACACATGCACAGGGTAATGGCGGGAGGGTCTCAGGGAAGAAAATAATGTCTCTGAGAATCACCCAGAGAGACTGGACTTCAAGGCGGGAGCGATGATGGAATGACAGTGATCCTGGCCAATGGAGAAGAGTGCATTGGAGCATCGTCTTCAGGGGCCAATCATTGACAAGGGGTGGGGCTTCTATGAAGGAGACAAAGCCAATGAGAGCCCTGAGGACTGGAGGTGCAGCCAATGGGAAAGAGAGCATCATATCTACGGGAAATCCCAGGATTTGTCATCTTGGGGATGGGGAGTCTTTGAAGAAGCAGTGAAGTCCTTGGCGCCATTCCCTGAAAACTGAGAAGAGGCCATAGCTCCCCAAGAAACCTGTCATGGGAGCAGGCAGCTGAGCCAGGGAACCCAGTCAGGAGTCAGAAAGAAGGGACTGACTAGCTAGTTGATGGCAGAGTCAGGAAAAATGTCAGAGACTGACCCTCAGACAGAGAGTGGAAGGTTGTGTGTGGTCCAGCCTCAGACCCTGTCCTTCACAGGCATCTCCTCTCACCTCCTTTCATTTCCCCCTCCCTGGACCTCATCCTGCTGACCAGGGCTCCAAAGAAAATGACAACATCTATTTAACGCTTCTGATCCCTGCACTGTGTGACCTGCCGGGGGAGTGTGGCTTTCTCTGAATCTTCTTCCCACTGTATAGAGATGGGAGCGACCTCTGTGTGTGCTAACTCTTTGGCGTCGCTGGCTGCCATGCCTTCAGCCTCTACATGGGGTAAAGGAGGAGGGGAGAAAGAGGTTTCAGATCGGTTGATTCAGAAGTAATTTAAATTGGTTAATTAGGGAGTCACTCACCTGGCATGAGTCAGCCCCGTTGCTGTCCCCTGCACAGACCATGCCCTCTGTGACTTCCTCAGGGTAGGCTTCTTCACACTTTTTCTGGGGAAGGATCTCTACTTGCGCACAGTTGAGGGCATCAGGAAAGTTCTCTGAGGGGGCAGAGGTTGTAAGTTCCCAGAAAGAGCAACCCTTTCCCACCATTCCCATCTGGACTAACCTCCCTCCTGCAAACCCACAGGTACACAGGGAAGGTTAAGATTTCTCAGCACATTAAACAAAACCACAGTCCCTGCCATTCCCTTTTCTCCACCTCAATGGGACCGTTGGACTCTACTTTTTGTTTCTTGCCCCGAGTCATTTCCAAATTAAGAATCAGGAGGACTTGTAGGTGCTCCCTTGTAATACCTCTGTCCTCTGCCCTGTCTTCCCACCCCCAGACCACCAGGTTCTCAATCTCAGCTAAATCCTACTTCCTCCAAATGTCAGCTCCTTCTAGAAACCTTTTCTGACCATTGTTCATTAAAACACCCCCCCCAATCACTCCCTATCTTCTTACCATCCATGATATTTCACTAGAGCTCTCAACTCTCCCTCATAAGTCATGCTATATGTGTTTGTTTATTGTCCAATTCCCCAGCTTCACATGCAATCCCATAAGGACAGGGACTCATACAATACAGCACCTGGGGCCTGAAAGACCCTCACCAGTAAGTGTTGAATGAAGGCCTGAAAGTGGAATTCATCTTTCTTTATCAGCTTTTGGGCAACAGACTTGATGGGGGGGATGTCTATCTGGCACCTCCATGTGCCAGAACCTATGTGCTCACACCTCATTCAATCTTCACAGAAGCTTTTGGAAGGAGGGATGCATTCATTCATTCCTTCATTCACTCACCCACATAATCATTCAACAAATATGTATTGAGCACCACCCTGAATGCTAGGAGCACCCAATAAAGGAAAGAGATATAACGCGAACACGTACGGAGCTTAAAAATCTATTGATTAGTTACCCCCATTTTGCAGATGAGGAAAGTGAGGCTGAGGGATGGGAAAGTACTTGTCTAGAGACAAGGGGAAAGAGCCATGGTTTTCTTGGATCTACCTGATGCATGAACAGGTAGGTTTTGCCATCATCCCATTGTCGCTCTTGAAGTGAGAGTCAGAGAGTCAGGGACCTGAATCCTGGCTTTGCTGCTTCCTGGTGAGTCACCTTGCCTCTCTGAGATGGGCCCCAATTTCTTCACTGTGAAGCAGGATGAGAGGACCCTAGAGTCCCTACCTGAACCCCAAAGTCCCTAAGGGAGGGAGGACCTCGGTGGAGGTCCAGAGGTTTTCATCCAGAATGACAAGGGAGCTGAAAACCTAGACAGCGGGTCCTGGGGTGAGAAGGGCCTAGACTATGAGTGATCTGGGCCCAGGAATCTTGGGTTCAAGAGGGAAAAATTGCTGAGAAGTCTGTTTTTATGGCGCCAGTGCAAATCCCTTGTATCCCAAGTCTATTAATGAGATTGTATAAAATCCTGTACAACAAAGGTCTCACAACATGTCATTCTCCACCATAAAGCAGAGATGTATCCATCCATCCATTCATTCATCCATTCCTACTTTCAAGCCCTGCTGAATAGTGTGTTGGTTTGCTTTCTTTCTCCTATCACTCCTATTAATATTCTAGCCTTCACCCTGGCTGGTGTGGCTCGGTGGCTTGAGCACCAGCCTGTGAACTGAAAAGCTGCCAGTTTGATTCTCAGTCAGGGCACATGCCTGGGTTGCAGGCTAGGTCTCCAGTTGGGGGCATGTGAGAGGTAACTGATCGATGTATCTCTTGAGCATCCATGTGGCTCTCCTCTCCTTTCTCCCTCCCTTCCCCGCTCTCTAAAAATTAGTTACTTAATTTAAAAATCTTAAAAAAATATTCTAGCCTTCAAGGTTCCTAACACGAGCCACTTGTAAGTCTCAGCCTCACCGTCACCATCCCTTCCTCATCTCCTTCTAACGGTAAAGTTTTGCCACTGGTCTGAAGTCCATGGGGCCCACCAGCTCCTCCTTCCTTCCCTCTCACTACCTTGAGGACTGGAAATAGTGCCCCAGCCTGAGATGGTGCACTTCTGGCCAGCTTGAGGGCAGTGATCTGTCAGGTTGATGGGCTTCACTTTGTTCCCGAGGGATGCTGGCCCGCAGAGTCGAATGAGCATCAGATCATGCTTGTGGTCATCGTTGTTGCTGTCGTAGCAGGGATGTGGGATGGACTGAGCCACAGCCCTTTCTTGCTCTGGCCCTTTCTGCAGTCTCTGATCTCCCAAGTGCACTGTGTACTTCCTGTAAGGACGGCGGTTCGTTTGGGACCCAGTCCCATCATTATAGCCCCTCCTCACATCCCAGAGTCCCGGTTCCCAGCCCTCCTCCCTTAGACCCAGGAGTCCCGGTCCCCGGCTCTCTCTTCCCTAAGGTGAAGCCCCAGCCTCCTCTTTCCCCAGGTCCAGCCCACCTCGGCCCCAGGCATCCACTCACGATTTTTTACAGTGGGCTGCTGTGAGAACCCAGTTGTCATCTATGAGGACACCCCCACATAGCAGATGGTTTTCCTGGAACAAGGCCACCTGCCAAGGTTGCGAATGGGGCTTGCACTCCTGGCCCCCCAGCACCTTGGACTCCTGTGCCCTCCAGTGCCCTGCAGCTGGATGGGAGAACGTAGGATCACTACCCCCCGGCCCCGGGAAGGTGCATGGGTGAGGGGAGTGGGAGGCAGGAACACCACCGTGGGTTCAAAGGGACACACCCCAGTTCTCTGCTCCTCATGTGTCCACACACCCTCACGTGTGGGGCTCCTGGCTTTCACATGATGCCACGCGAATACACACGTACACTCACCGAAGCCCATGCGTCATCACACAGAGTCACACACCCGAGCATGCTTCCACATGCTCCCACATGCGTCCACATGCTCTTACACTCCCGTGTGTATCTGCACCCCCCACAGACTTGGTGTGCTCATGCCAATTTGCAGCATAACCTGACATGAGTACCTGCGGCCACCAGTGCCCCAGCTCCGCCTCCCACCCCAGGAAAGCAAGCCCGCTGAAGCCCCCCCATGCAACTGCACACCTCACCCATCGCACACTCCACCACATGCATGCACACGGCCACCATGGCCTGCTCACAGGCTCAGGCCCGCCACCAGCACCTTCCAGCCCTCCTCACCTGCGCAGGCTTCCAACAGCAAAAACAGGAACATCCAGGCGCTCATTGCAGCAAGTAGTAGGTGTCCCGTGCTGGGGTCTGGGGGAGGGAGAGCACCAGGGCTGAGAGCCGAGGAGGGAGGGGCTTGAAATCCTAGCAAGCTCTTGGGACTGGGAAGGGAGCAGAACTTCCAGAGTTGTTCTTCTGGGCCCTGCAGGAGGAAGGGGCTGGGACTCAGATTCTTAGGTCGGAGTAAGAGGCGGGTGGGGCCCTACGTTCTTGAAAATGAGGAGAAAGGCTGCTGGGGGTGGGGGGGGGCGGTCTGGATTTTTACGTTCCCAGGGAGAAGGGAATTCAGATCCTGGACTCCTCCTGAACCTTGAGGAAGAGGAGGCGGGGGCTCAGATTCCTGGGTCCTGACGGAGGGAGGGCTGTGAGGTTCAAGTCCCCGTTCTGGAGGAGGAGGGGCCCCAGGGCCAGATGCAAGAGTCTGAGAATTTAGAGTCCGGAGGGGCGGGGTCACCTACTGATTCGGACCCGGAGCAAGAGGCCCCCGATACTTCAGCTGTCTGCCGGGTACACGGATCAAGGAGGCTTTTAACTGGGAATCCCCGCCTCCTGCCCCGCCTCCTCCGGTGCCGGAGCTGGACTGAGCATCCCTGGGTTTGAGTGAGGAGGGTTTGAGGGGCTGAAAGGAAATTCTTGAGGGAAGGGGGAGCTGGAATCTCGGGGTACGGAGGCCAGAAGGAGGAGCTCAGAGTTATACCTCCTGGGTCTCAAACGGGAAGGTGGAGGGGCTCCAACAATTGGATCTTGGGGAGGACAGGGCTGGGGGGGGGGGCGCTGCATCCTGCGTCGGAGGAGGGGAGGGGGCTGGGGCCCTAGATTCCTGGGTTTGAATAAGGAGGAGGGCGCGGGGTGTCCGGACTCCTGAACTCAACCGAGGAGTGGGCTCGAGGGCCAGGCTTTGAGAAAGTAGGGGAGCTGCTGCGAATAACCCCGCCGAGAAGAAAGGCGAGTCTCCTGGGGCCCCGGCCTCTGAGGGCGGACCGCACCCGCCCGCGGTCCCCCGAGAGCTCCGCGATCTGGGAAGGCAGGTTTGGGAGGTACGGTGACCTGGTTTCCCCTTTCCCTGCGGGTGAGGGGACCAGCCTGAGCAGAACCCGGGAGGCCTGCTTGCAACAGGGCTGATGCTGGTAAGACTTCGGGCAGAACCGACTACGGGTTCAAGGGAAATTTCAACGCGGTGACCCCACAACGTGCAGGCAGAGAGAAGAAAGGGCTCCGCGCCTTTATTGCAAAACCATCCATTGGATCTGAAGAGACCGAGACCCTCCCCTGCACGTCTCCCCGATGGTCCCGGGGAGAATTCGAACCCAGAGCCCACCCCCACCCCCCCGAAGGCGGGGCCAAGAGGGGAGGAGCCAGACCCGGCCTGTGCTGAGCCAATCGGGGAGGCTCCAGGGCCCCTGACGTCAGGGGGCGGGACCACACGGGGTGGAGTCCAAGCAGCGACGTCTCATTGGGCAGAGTTCCGAGGGGAGGAGCCACCTGGCTGCTTTCAGTCCCTGCAGCAGGACCACCAGCTGAGGCTGCTCCGCCAGGTGGTGCCTGCTCCTGGCGAAGTCAGCGACGGGGCCGGGAGGGCGGAGGTGTCTCTCTGCTCCATCCCTTCTAAATATCCGGAAAGCTTCTCCAGGACTGCTGAGGCCAAGGGCGGAGACAAAGGAGGCCGGGGCCTCTCTGTCCTACGCCGGCCCTCCTCGCGAGGTCGTCCAAGGCTGAGCGAGGACTCAGTTTTCCTCCATTGTTTTTCTGATCCAGCGCACGTAGTGGCACACACTCGTGTAGACGGCAGGGCGCCGGGGTCGGGAGCAGGGCTCCGCGCCTCCAGACACCACGCCAGCCAGGGTCCCGTGACAAATCAGGGGGCCCCCAGAGTCACCCTGTGTGTGTGGGGGGGGGCGGGGAGAAACAGAAACTGTTAGGCGAATTGAATTATGACATAACACAGGCCACTTCCCTCTTCCCCGGGACCCCCAGTTTCTAGCTGGCCCCAAACCCAGACATCCAGGTCTCCACTCCTTCCTCCCTCAGATTCAGGAGTCAAAAACCTTCAATCTCCCCTGGGTCCCTAGCATTCTGGGTCCCCAGCACCCTCTTCCCCAGGGACTTAGAGTCCGGACCTCCAGTTTCCTCCTCCCGTAGATCCAGAATTCTTGGTCCTGGCCCCCGTCCTCTCTCAGGAAGTCCCAGGTGTCCCAGAAGGATAGGCAGCGTCCTTCTCCTCACCTGACAGGAGCCGCGGCCTCCCTCCCACAGGCCAGCACAGAGCATGCTCTTGGTGATGTGGCCCGGATATGCGCGATGGCAGAGTCTAGGCTCCAGGATGCTGATGTTGGCACACTGCAGCGTGAGCGGGTACTGCACTGTTGAGGAAGGAGATCACAGGGGGTCAGCCGCTGCAGCCATGTCACTCAACACACCCGCCCATCCTTCCTTAAGGCGGAGCTACGGAGCCACAGCATAAGATTTTCCAAGAAAAAGGCCTGGCTGGTGTAGCTCAGTGGATTGAGTTACACCAGCTCAAATCCACCGAGCTCCAAGGGTTGCCAGTACGATTCCCAGTCAGGGCACATGCCTGGGTTGTGAACTGGGTCCCCAGTAGGGGGCACACGAGAGGCAACCAACACAACGATATTTCTCTCCCTCTCTTTCTCCCTCCCTTCTCGTCTGTCTATAAAAGTAAATAAAAATCTTAAAAAAGAAAAACATTCTGCAAGAAAGAAACAAGGGGCAGGTGACCGAGAGAATCCCAACATAAAAAAGAAACAGATGTACAAGAAGAGGGAGGAAGAGAGTGAGACAGAAAGGTGCAGAGAGCCAAGAGACAAGAAGACACACGTATAATTTGCCTAGAGGAAAATAGAGACCATAGCGGAAGCTAGAGCCCTCTTCAGGGGAAAGAAATTCTCAGAAAAGGCCATGAAGAAATAGAAGTGGGCCCAGAGATATCCAGTGAGGGGCTGTGGATTAAAGGGAAGGAAATATTTATAGGGAGAAGGTCATTGATAGGCACAGAGGTAAAGATTTAGAGATATTCAGTAGAGATAGAGTTACAGAATCTAGAGGCGGAGAAGGATATGTAACCCTAACCATATATACCCACGTATATAATGTATGGGTGCAAACTCAAGCAATCCAGGGGCTTTATGGGGAAATGGAAGTTGTGGTTTTGTGTTTATTCCACATCCACTCACTCTGCCCAACAATGGTTGCTCCTTTGGGAATGTGGCCCCAGCAATGCCAGTTCTTAACAAGGAAATCCTGAAACTTGGCTTTTGTGTAAAAGCGTCCAGGTTTTAGATGTTAACAGCAACACATTCCGGCGGCTTTTTTTGTTTTTTAAGTGAAGGCATTTTGAAAAGCAGCACTAATGTGGGAAGCAATTTTGGCTAATTTGCTGGTTGTTGATGGGTGACTCCGAGATAGGTAGGACTTATTTCGACTTTAAGACACATACATTTTTACATTTAAAGGTCCTGAAATCAGGATGTGTCTTCTGGGGAATGGGTCACATGAGGATCAATGGGACTGTCTTCCTGTCATTCTCAGTGGGTTGTGAAAATAATGAAGCACCTTACAGTTTATAGCATCTTAGATTTTTGATGGAATATATGGATTGATAGATAGACAGACAGGTGGGCAGGTAGTGGATAGAGATGAAAAGGCAGAAAGAGAAGAGGAAGAATTTAGACCCTCCGTATGAGATGGAAGAGAGTATGTCATGGGTGAGGCTGTACCCTTGGGGCTGGACACGGCCCCCCAGCCTGAGATGAGGCACTGGGTTCCCGGGGAGACGCAGGTGTGGCTGATGTTGAGGGGCTGCACAGCAGGTCCCAGCTGTGCCTTCCTGGGCAGACGGATCAGCATGATGTCGTTGTTGTGGTCTTGAGCTCTGAGATCCTTGTTGAACTCGGGGTGAGGGAAGAAGTCCGTGACTCGCAACAGCTGCTCTGGACCCTCCCATTTCCAGAGGTGATGCTCCCCAAGGCGGACCCACAGATACCTGCTGGGACATGCCTCAGGGGTCAAGATGAATGTCCACCAGGGTGCTGCGTGATTCTCTACAAGCTGCCTGTTTTCTCTGGCACCCCGTCATATGCGGGATGCCAGAGTGCTGTGTGACTTTGAGGAAGACACACAGTGTTTCTGGGCCTCTGATCCCCAGTCTGTCCCTTTGTCTGCCTCTGCTATTGTAGCTCTCCCCCAAAAGCTCACACCTTTTCCCAGGTCCATGCCAAGTGAGCCACCTTCTTCCTTGCGCCACCTGGAGCCTTAGTGGTGAACTGGGTCCCCTGGAACCATGTAGACACATGACTCCACCTACACCTCAAAAACAGCTCCACCCCTGCCCCCACAGGTCTGGTGGCTTCTGGGAGGAGTGGCTCGGAGTGTGTTACGTAGGGAGGAGGACGGAATGTGGAAAATCCCCAAGTTGGGGACCATCTGCATCCTCAGGCCTTTCCTGGCTGCCCCATCTCTCACCCCTCCATGCATTTCCTCCTGAAATCGAGCCTTAAGCCCTCTCTCACAGCACTTGCCATCTGCTTGCTCTGCTCTGGGTCTATGCCCTGGGCAGCGGTGGACTTTCTGAGGGTCTGTGTGCCCACCCCCCAGCTTCTGTTCTCTAACATTAGGGACCAGGCCAGTGACCTGAGAAGTCCAGGTGTGAGGAGTGTGAGGTTATTTCTATCTCTGTACCTTTCTGTCACTGTATTGCCTTGGCTCTCTATCTGGAGAACGAGCTCTCCCCCAACCCAACTCATTGTTAGCCCTGGATTCCTTCTATTTCCACCTCTCTGCTTTTCTCCTTCTTTGTTTTCCAGGCTGAAATCTGAGCGTTGCTCTCCTGGCCTAGCGTAGGCACCCGGAGCTGAAAGAGACCCCATCATGGAGCAGTGCATGATGGGAGAGCACCACGAAGCATCCCGTACTCACACCTGTGCGTGATCCCTGGCGGGAAGCGCATCAGATCAGGAAGGGCAGTCCCTTCCCAGGGATGGGCAGACCGGGTTTTAGGTTCTAGGATTCCATTAGAATGTCCAGAATCTAAAATTCTTGTACTCTAGGATTCTAACACCCTCGGAATCAACCGCTTGTAGAATTCTACAAAGCTCAAGTTCTAGGATGCTAGGAATCAAGGACTCTACTGTTTTAGTTCCTCTGAATCAAAAATTCCAGGATTTTAAGATTAACTGGATTTGGAGGTGGCATGGGTGGAAGTGAAAGATGATATGGGGGGGGATGAATGGGAATAGAAAAATACAATAAAAAAGTAAAGTAATTGCCCTGACCAGTGTGGCTCAGTTGGTTAGGCATCCTCTCATGAAGCAAAAGGTTGCCATTTCGATTCCCAGACAGGACACACGCCTGGGTTGCGGGTTTGATCCCCAGTCGGGGCAGGTACAAGAATCAATTGATCGATGTTACTTTCTCATATCAAAGTTTTTCTTCGTCCCTTCCCTTTCTCTAAAAATAAATAAATAAAATCTTTTTAAAAATAAAAAATAATTAGTGGTAATAATAGTAACAAAACTATATGAATGATATCTATGAGTTAATGAGCCTAGAATTCTAATATCCGTGGAGAATAAGACTAGAACATCCCCATTCTAGAATTCTATAAATCTATGATTTGGGAAATTTAAAAATCTAGAGTTCAAATAGTTTGAGACTCTAGAATTCTCTGAACTAGAAGTTTGGTAATTTTAAGAATCTGGCATATCGCGGGCCTGTGAAGCAAAGGGTGGCTGGTTCCATTCCCAGTCAGGGCACATGCCTGGGTTGCAGGCCAGGTCCCTGGTAGAGGACACATGAGAGGTAGCCACGTATTGATGTTTCTCTCCCACTCTTTCTCCTTCCCTTCCCTTCTCTCTAAAAACAAACAAATAATTATTTTTTAAAAAAGAATCTAGAATATTAGCATTCTAGGGTACTAAATCCACAAAAATTCTAGAAATGTATGAATAACCTTCTAGAATTTTTTTGTTTCAAGATTCTGGAATTCTACAAATCACAGTATTCTAGGAACTGTGAATCAAAGATTGTAGGACCATGAACATCTATGTCCGATGAATCTAGCCAGAATCTTCGGCATCTAAGATTCTAGTATTTCTCTACTCCTCCAGTGCAGCTACTGAGCCCTTGAAGTGTGGTCGGTCCAAACTGAGAGGCATCACTTATGAGAAGGACGTGTCCAATTTCAAAGGCCCACACAGAAGAGAGTGAGTTTTGGAATTTATGGATATTTAAGCATTGAGTAGATATTAAAATAATGTTATTTTGTGTATATTAAAAATCTATTATTACAATGATTTTTACTTGTTTCTCTTTCTCAACGTGTCTACTAGAAAACTAAAACTTACATGGCTACATTCTATTTTACTGGCAGAGCTGCTCTGGACTTGTAAGATTTTAATAGTGTCTGAATCTATGGAATCTAAAATTTTCTGAGGTTATCTCATGGATCTGAGATTTTAGGAGTCTAAGATTCTGGATTTCTCCAGGTCAGCGTGTAAGATTCTGGCAGACTAAATTCCAAATCATAGGCTCTTAGAATCTGATTATTTTAAAGGAATTAAGAACTGGAATTAAGAATGTTGGCTCTGTAATTCTGAGTTGAGCTTCTGGGAGCAGAAATAGAGGCTTAGCTCTTCTTGCCTACAGCTCCTTTTTCTAACGGAGACCCTTGTCCCCCCCCACCCTCTCCTTACCCCTAGTCCCCTCCCCAGAGTGGTCACTCACGGCTTGTGGCAGTGGGCAGCTGTGAGCAGCCAGCGGTCGCTGATGAGGGTGGCCCCACAGAAGAGGTGGGTGCGGTAGAAGAGGCCGGCCTGCCAGGGCTGGGAGTTGGGTTGGCATTCCTTAGCTCCGATGGCTCTGGTGTCTGCCCAGCTGTTCCCTGGGGGCAGGCAGAAGGCAGAGGGGTCAATGAGGAGCAAGGCGGGAGGGCTGGGGAGGGGTGCTGAGGGCAGGGACAGAAGGTGGAGGGTGCAAAGGGCAAGCTGCCGAGGCTGCTGGGGCCACGGAGAAGCCACAGGATGGGCAGGAAGGACCCTGGAGCCTCACCTGCCAGGAGAGAAAGCAACACACAGACAAATCCCAGCTTCATGATCTCTGGGTGCCTGGGTCCTGGGGCCCGGCTCTGACATCCTTGCTTCTTTAAGGTAAGCCATGTCATCTCTTTCCTCCTCCTGGGGCCACCCCATGATTAATCAGGGTTGAGAAATGTTACTGGGGGAGGAGGAAGCCCTGGGGCCTTGCCTGAAAACAAACCTTGACAAGGGAAGCCATGCAGGGAGACCCTCTGGCAGGAAAATCTGGCTGCCTGCGGGGTCAGGGCTTGGCTAACTGGGGCAGGGGGCCTAGGATGTAGGATTCTCCTTGGGTGTCTCCAAAAAAAGAGGGAGTCCCCACGCAGGATCTAGATACAGGATAATCCGTGGCCAGGAGGGGGAAGAGGGTGAGGAGGAAGATAGATTCCTAAGGTCGGGCCTGGAGGTGGGAGCAAGTTTATCTTGAGTGCAGCTGTGGTGAGCTGGGACTGGAGCGATGCCCAGAAATCAGGATGGAGGAGGGAGAAAGAACTGGGACTCAGAGGGAAGAAGCCACACAGGCAGGCAGGACGGGGGTGAGATGGGGAAAGAGAAAGAGATAAAAGAGATGGAGATAGAGACACAGAACGGTGAGAGAGAGAGAAGCAGAGACCACAATGATGACCGAGAAATGTGGTCCCAACTGGAGGAAACCTCAGTTGTAAGCTACTCTCTTCTTCACAACGACCCAGGTGGCTAACCCGCCTAAAACTCAGCACCTTTCCTATTGTCTTATTACCACCAGATCTTGGCTAAGTCTGGAGAACATTTTCTTTTTTTTTTCCACCCATCTTCTCCCCTCTATTTTCCTCCCCATCACCCCATTCTGGCTGTCTCTTCCCTCATCCCCCCTCCACTAGGTAGGCAGCCCCCGGAAGGGCCAAGCCCAGGTCTGACTCATCTCTGTGTCCCCAGAATCACCCTGTTCAGCTGGGCTCAGGCGGAGGTTACAGAATATGTTAATATTGAATGAGTGAATGTCTTTCTCAAGATCCTTCTCTTCTGGGTAAACTCCTACTCATCCTTCATGGCCCAACTTCGATGCCGCCTCCTTCAGGAAGACTTCTCTGATTTCTTTAAGCAGAGTCCACCGTTTGCTCCCCTGAGCACTCATGATCTCTTCCACCTGCCCCAAGCCTGAGTAACAAGCTGGGTCTGGGCTCCCTTTGAATGCGTCCTCACCATGCTATTGCCGTTTGGATCATGCATCTTGGACTTGCACTACACGGGACCAAATCTCAACATTGGCAGTTATGAAGTGTGTGAACTTGAGCTTCTCCCCATCGCTTCATCTGCTAAGTAGCAATAGTAACCAGGGCTGTAGGGGGATTAACGAATTCACACTACTGAGCACAACAGTGTCTGGCACGTGATATGCATTCAGAAAATACAATATGTCTAACCCCGTCCCAGAGAGGCCTTCCAGGACTGGAGTTGTCTCACTTCCACGCTGGACAAGGAGTCTTGAGACTAAGGACTGAATACCTACTGCGTGCTAAGTGCCACACTAACTGCTCTTACGGACCTCTCGGTGGCTACCTTTATGGATTGTTTACTCTGCAGCTGGCAGTTAGGTAAGCAATTCATGGTAACTATCTTATTCGCTTCTCACAAGATTCTTTTCCGTCTGCACGCATCCCAGGAAGGTGTGGAGGGAAATAGTGGTAGAGCATTCAAGTAATTTGCTCAAGGTCCCACAGTGAGTGATGGAAATACATCTTGTTCTATAGCTGGTGAACTCCGACTGACCCGCATTTTGCCATGTATAATGGGCATCCACGTTTTGGGCCCAAACTTTCAGAAAAAAAAAAAAAACCCCAACCGAACAGCTTTCATTTACATTTCTTAATTCAATTATATATATTTTTAAAGATTTTATTTATTTATTTTTAGAGAGATGGGAAGGGAGGGAGGAAGAGAGGGAGAAAAACATTGATGCGTGAGAGATACATCGACTGGTCGCCTCTTGTAGGCCCCCAACCAGGGGCCTGAACGGCAACTCAGGCACGTGCCCTGACTGGGAATTGAACCAGCGACCCTTCAGTTTGCAGGCTGGCACTCAATCTACCGCACCACACCAACCAGGGGTTAATTCAGTTATTTATTTATTTATGCATATGTAGGTAGTTGATTTCTGTAACTTGAGCATTTATTTGTGAACCCATTATGGCACAAGAAATCTTATGTAACAAATAACTACAGAACACAAGCACAGATACAAGGTATTTCGGGCACTAGCCATGTATAATTCCCACCCTTACTTTTCCCTCAAACATTTGGGGGGGGGGAGTGAGCGTTATACACAGCAAAATACCCGCACTGCCTTCTCATCTGAGAAGACTTCCTGGCTCCTTTGGGATGAGTCTTTGGCCTTCCTTGGGGCACACTGTACCTCTTTCTGTTACAGCATTGATCAGGTTGTCATTTTCCGTTCAATACTGTATCCAGTGGCCTCTGTGTTAAAGCACCATCCCAGGTGCTTAGAAAACCACAGCGAATAAGTCGGGGTCCCTGCCCTCATGGACTGAGTGGGACGAGGGGCGCAGATTATTATGGTGGACACAAATAAATGAGATTGGTTCAGCTATAACAAGGGCTGCAAAGGAAATAAAGAAAGCGATGAACAAGTGACTTGGGGGGAGCAACTTTCGCAAAGGCAACCCTGGAAGGCCTCCTTGAGGAGGTGACCTTTGAGTGGAGACCTGAATGCCAAGAATGTAAGGCATGCTGGTCTCCCTGACCAGACCAGCAGCTCCCCGAGGGCCGGGACCAGGGTGATGTGTCTGACTGACGTTTCCGGGGTGTGCTGTTGGGAGTGGGGGAGGAGTCAGCAGAAAGGGGCCTATGCAACAGTCTCCTGTAGTCTGTGAGGGCGGGGTTACCTGGTAGTCACCACTATGTTGCCAGCCCCACAAGGGGTCTGCCATCTACTAAATGCTCAATAAATTGGTGTTTGAAAGGAAAAACAAGAACAACCTGTGCTGGATGGAAAATTTCTCTTGTGATATGTTCAGCTGACGTTACGGCTCCAAATTCCAGGCTAAGTGGAGACCGTTTCAGAGAGAGGAAAAGAACCCATTTGCCCACACTTTCAGAGCAAAAAAATCTCAAAGATGATTGGAGATGGGGGTGGGGATGGAGTTGAACTTGAGTTATAAGCCTCAGGTTAGGAATGAGGATGGAGATGTGGTGAGATGGGATTGTGGTTCTTGGCTGGGGAGGGGAGACAGGCCGGAAAATTCCCCCTGAATTTCAGAGGGCTTCTTTGCGTGAACTTATCAACTGAGGTGAAGAGGGCTCCTCTGGTCCCAGAGGCTGGGATGCACGCAGGGTGAAGTCCCTTGGGGTCCAGTGTTCCCAGGACGGCAGAGAAAATACCAGATGACTCAAGCCAGCCCGGCTCCTGCTGGCACTGAATGAACTGGTGTTGGGTGGACCCGGACATGGGAAACAGTGGGAGGGAGGAAGGAAATGGCTCAGAGGTACTTCACAGACCGTCAGAGGCGGGGCGGACAAAGTGATTTTCCCATCAGCCCTTAGGAATGGAGATGGGGAGGGTGTGTGACTGTGGGGAGGCAGGATCAGAAACTTCCCCCCGCCCCCCCCCCCCGTGCTTTTCTCTCCAGCACACAGAGTTCTTACCAGGACCGGTTCACACATCATGACAACAAGCAACATTTCGAAACAGCACACCACCCACGGTGCTGATGCTTTACTGAGAATTACCATAATGATCTACACAAACACACACACACACACACATGGGTTATATCATAGTCTCCTTACAACCCATCTATGAGGTAGGCACGTCTGTGCCCCCACTCTCCCCGGGATGGAGGAAAAGGAGGTCCGGAGAGCTCCTTGGCTTGTCTTGCCCAAGATCACGAGGCAGGAGACACCAGAGGAAGCCAAGGTGGGTGATGGATAGCTCCTCTCAGAGAACGGCTGGCCGCCAGCTTCCTCGACTCTCTCGAACAGAACTTAGCCTCCACCTCCTGTATTCTGGCTTCGACGTGGGCAGAGAAGAGCAGTGGGCAGGAAGATGGGGGAAGAGGAGAGATGCCCGCAGGTAAGGGTGGGCGGCAGAGGTTGGGAGTGGGCAGGGGAGACCGGGCTGGAAGCCAGGCAGAGGACGAAGGCACCACAGCACCACTGGGTCAGTGGGAGCGAATGGTTTTCTCAATCCAGGAGGTGTATCTGCAGATCTGCGTGTAGACAGCTGGGTGCTGAGCAGAGCCACAGGGGTAAACACCCCAGGAAAGGATGCCTTGCAGGGTCTCATCACAGACCAGAGGGCCACCGGAGTCACTCTGCGGGGAGGAGGAAGGAGAGAGCCAATAAACACACCCACGAGAGGGCTGCCACTGCAGGGTCTGAGGTCGCAATGGGGAGGGAGGGGTCTGAGTGAGGTATGAAGTGCAGTGGGATGCGGTGGAGTTGGACTTGGGTTATGGGCGTTGGCTTGAGCAATGAGAATGGAGACGTGCTCAATGAGAATAGAGCTGAGATTCTAGCACCTGGTGGGAGAGGGGATGGAGACGGATCTGCAGAGAGAGGGGGGTGGGCGGGGGGGGATGGTTAGGAATGGCTTGATGAGGGGCATGAGGCTCAGGATAGCTCAGTAGATTGAGCACCAGTCTCCAGACCAAAGAGTGGCTGGTTCAATTCCCAGTCAGGGCACAGGCCTGACTTGCAGACCAGGTCCCCAGCGGGGGTGCTCACAAGAGGCAACCACACATCGATGTTTCTCTCCCTCTCTTTCTCTTTCCTTTCCCCTCTCTAAGAATACATAAACAAACAAATAAAAATCTTACAAGGAAAAAGAAAAAGGGGCTATGTAAGACTAGAGTAACCACACAGGATGGTCTGATCACAGATCCTTACCTGGGCAGGTCATGGCCAGTAGTCACATTCCAGGCCCACAGCAGCCTTAGCAAAGGCCAGTCTTTATCTACATCGAATGCTGCCCAAATTCTTATGCATTTAAGATAACATGCCTTTGAAATGTGAGAGCCTCTATTTTTCTGAAAACTTCAGAGGTACACTAGTTGGCAGGAGATCAAGACCACAGAAGCCCTCATTATCTTGTGGCCCGCATACCCTCTCTGTACCATGTACTGTAAATGTCCAGGTCAGCCTGGACCCACGGAGGTCAAAGCAGTGTGTAACTCCTCACGTTACTTTGGGTCCGGTCTAGAGATTTCCCAGCCTCACTTTCTCCTGCCTCCCCTAAACGACCACCAGTGGATTTCACGGAAGCTGTGCTTATGTCTCATCTTTGATTCCGAATGTATTAAATAAACTGGGAGCCCTGGCTGGTGTGGCTCTGTGGACTGAGCACCAGCCTGCAAACCAAAGGGTCATTGGTTCGATCTCCAGTCAGGGCACATGCCTGGGTTGTGGGGCCAGGGCCCCAGTAGGCAACCACACATTGATGTTTCTCTCCCTCTCTTCCCTTCTCTGAAAATAAATAAATAAAATCTTTAAAAAAGAAAAATAAATGAACTGGAAAACTGCTATTCTCCGGAGCATTTTTTTTCAATCCATTGAGATCTTGCTTCTAGGCATATCTTCAACATTTTGACTCAAATTAAATTTCTATATAGGTTTGGACATTCTGTTGTGGACAGGGATGAGGCTGGGGTAGGGATGGGATGGTGCTGGACATGGGGGTGACGTCTGGCTGGGGTGGCTATAGGGCTGGGGACAAGGGTGGGACTGTTTGCTTTCCCATCACCTGCCTATGCTCACCCCATGAGTCGGAGACCCTACCTGGGTGGTCCCTACCTGGCAGGGGTCCTGACCCTGGTCCAGTCCTGCACACATCATGTTGTTGCTGACGACACCAGGGTAGAAGACATCACACTCTCGGTGGCTCAGGATAGTGACTCTGGAGCAGCTCAGGCTTTTGTTGTACTTCACTAATGGAAGAAAACACCAGGCTGCCCGGGGATGCAGCCCCAGTGCCCCAGGACCCAGGAGTCCAGGCCCCCAGCCCCTCCCCCCTCAGACCCAGGAGCCCAGGCCCCCCAACCCCTCTTCCCTCAGACCCAGGGGTCCGGGCACCCCAGCCCCTCCCCGCTCAGACCCAGGAGCCCAGGCCCCCAGCCCCTCCCCACTCAGACCCATGAGTCCAGACCCCTCCCTCCTCCCCCCTCAGACCCAGGAGCCCAGGCCCCCCAGCCCCTCCTCCTTCAGACCAGGAGTCTTGAACCCCAGCTCCTCTTGCCCTAGATAGAGGCCCTCGAGCTCTTGCCTCTTCTTGCGGAGGTGGTGCCCCAGCCAGCGACCTGGCACTGGTCCCCGGCCTGGGCACAGCTGTAGGGCAGGCGCAGGGTCTGGATGCGAGACCCAAGCACAGCAGGCCTGCCCAGCTTCAGCAGCATGAGATCGTGCTCATCTGTCCGCCTCGGCAGGATGGGGCCGGAGCCGTGGCGATACTTGGGGTGCACGATGGAGACCGTGGTTCTTCGGAGCTGCTCGCCCTGAAGCAGCAGCAGGTGGTCGTCCCCAACGCGAGCCCACAGTGGCCTGGGGAGGGAAGAGCCGTCTGGAGGCAAGGCCTTTGCAGAGACTGAAATTGGACAGAGTCCCTGGGGAGGCTGGTGCAGGCAGTGGGATGGGGTAGACACCTGGATCCCTGAAGGGGGCTGGGGACTCCTGGGCTGGGGGGCGGAGGGGACTAGGGGCACAGACTCCTGGGCCTGAAGCAAGAGTGAGTGGAGGAGGGGAGCCAGGCACCTAGATTCTTGGGACATGGGGAGGAACCATGAGGTGTATGAGTCCCTGACTTCTGTGTGTGTGGGGGTCTACCTGGGCAAGCCCATCTTTTCCCGCCTCCCTCAGGGATTCCTGAGAGGAGCCATTTCTTTCAGTTCTAAATTCCTAACCACACCAGACCTTGACTTCTGTCTGCTGCGCTCAACTATCTACAGTTACCTACACAGAATACAAGCAGTATCAAAAGGCGCCTAGAAAACCTAAGAAGGATCACACCTCCCCCTGGTGGCCACAGCACAGCCCCACCTGTCCCCGTGGAAAGCGCTCCAGAACGGACCCCCACTGGGCTGGGACAATTCCAGACCCTTCAAGTCCAGCCCTATCCGCCCCGCACCCTTCCCGCCCACCGCGAGGGCAGTTTCCACAGAGGTCTCGGGGCGTCCCCGAAGAGCTCCCCTACTTGTTGTTTCCACAGTGCGCGGCCGTAAGCACCCAGTTCTTGTCCACCAGGACGCCCGCGCAGTGGAACGACAGGCCATTGAAGAGGGAGACCTGCCAGGGCTGCGAGCCGCGCGCGCACTGGGCGCCGAAGACCTCGGGGTCCGAAGCGGTGTCGTTTCTGGGGAACGTCGCCTCCGCAGCTGGAGGAAGGAGGTGACCATCAGGGCAGGGCAGGGCAGGACAGGGCAGGGCAAAGGCTGGGTTTGGGGTCAGTGCGTGGCCTTGGGACGGAGCTGGGGGTGGGAGGGGCGCAGCCAAAACCCGGGAGAAAGCGGAAAGTGGGGGCGGGGGAGGAGGGTCTTGCTGGAACCTCTTGGAAGCTGAGGAGGAAAAAGGGCGTGAAAAGGGGAAGAAGGCGGAGACGGGTGGAGTGGAGAAATGGGACCCAACCGGGTGGGTCTGGAGGGGCGGGGATAGACCGCTGGGCTGGGTAGGTGAGGGGTAACTGTGGGAATAACGCAAAGTGCTGGAAAAGGGGGCTAAGGCAAAAAGCTATGGGGAAAGAGGTGGGATAAAATAGGGCGGAGGAAGAAGGGACCGGGACAAAACGGAACGGAGCGAGGGGGCCGGATTAGCAAACGGTGAAGTAAGAGGTGAGGAAAGGAGGCTGGCTGGGAAGAGTGGGAGAGTGGATGCGCGCGCGGCCGGAGCCGGGGCGCAGCATCCTGGGCGGAGCGAGACAAGGGGCGTGGCTGCCCTGGGGCGGGGCCTCCTTCGGGCCGGTGGGTGGGTGCTGCGGGGGGATCCCAAGCCCCGGAGCGGAGTGCGGGCGTTGGTGGTGAGAGCTCACTCTCGCCTTGGCCCAGGTCTCGGCGCCTTCCACCAAGCCCTGACACCCGCCTCACCCCAGAGTTGCGCCATCAGCAGCGGCAGCAGCAGCTTCGCCCGGGTCAGGGCGCCAGAGGCGGCAGAAAGGTGGAGTTGTGGGGGTCTCATGGCCGGGACCTGGGCTTGAGGGGCGAGGAGCGAGTTAAAATAAGTCCTAACCAAGACCCTCATCCCGCCGTGCCCGCGCGCTTAGCCTGGGCCACCCCAGCCCGCGGGGACAGTGTAACCTGCGACCCACGACCTCAGGGCGGGCCGACTGGAGATTCCAGCTGAAACAGCGGTAAGGGGCGCAATTATCCTAATGATGCCCCTGGCTGCGTCCTCCCGCCCTCCCTAAGCCGAAGGGAGCGCCCTCCCTCCTGGGTGGTACTGCCCCGCTGCCAGCCTCTTGGTACATGGGGTTTCACCCTCCTGCACAGGGAGGGTAAGGATCTAAAGGGAATCGAGGCTCAAGCAGAAGCTGCTGCCCGCGACCTGAGGATCCCCAACCATAGCGATGTGCATCCGCCTCACCTGAGTGTCACCAAAAGGAAGGAGGGAGGGGACTCCCAAGGACCTCTACCCTGCCTTGTAGCCTTCCAGGATCCTCTGCCCAGGGACCCCTGGCCAGACCTTCCCTTTTAACCTCGCAGAGCCCGGAAACTACCCCGCCCTCCCTCCAGGGCCTCACCCCCACCTTTTCCCTCTCCCTAATTATACCGTGGGCGCGGCTGGCACCCAGCCTGAGCCCCAGATTCCTGTTCTGGGAGCGGCCCCCTGGAATACAGGCTTCTCCCATTGCTCGAAACACCCTTTTTGGAGCTGTACTTTGTTTGGGATGTCCCTAGGTCTCCGGAGTCAAGAAATCTTCCTAGGTGGGGACAGAGGGTGGTGGGCAGTGTTGGAGAGAGGTGATCCAGAGCAAAAGAGAAGAACATAAACAGGGAAATGCACACCCGGAGTGATCCCATAAGAGAAGCCAGGAGGCTGACAGGAAAGGAGGGAGGGAAGGAGGCAGAGAGACAAGAGGGATTGAAGGGAAGAGTAGGGGCCACACAGACGGATACCCAGAGACAGGGAGAGGAAGATGGGAGAGGAAGTGGGGGAAGGAGGCAGAGACGGAGATGGTCTGAGCTTGAGTCCAGCCCCACAACCAGGGCGGTGGGCTTGGTCAGTGTGTGTCCCAGGGACCAGCCCCCATGTGTGTTTCAGGGGAGGTTTGGTGTCATTCCCGTGTGTGGTCACCGCGCATCTTCCCTGTCATCCCTGTCTCCAGGTGACATGCAGGCCCATGAATCACAGGAGGCTGCAAGAGGAGTCATCTGGCCCTCAGCTGACTTCCTCATTTCAGGTGAGGAATGGGAGACTCAGAGAGGGCAGTGCCTCGTGGGAAGTCACAGAGCAAGTCGACCTAACAACCAGGAGGCCCCGGTCCCCACTCTGGGCTCTTACCCCTCACGCTAGCTACCTCCCCTGTGAGGGAAGAAGAACATCAGAAAAGAGCCTGGGCACTGGACTCTTTGCTCAACAACTTCTCCAGCGAGACATGAGTTAACTCCAGAGGTTGTCCAGCTCAGCGCTGTCTAATAGCATTATTTTCTGCAACTGTGGCAACGTCCAATCAGTACCATTCAACAGGACAGCCAATGGCGCATTTGGTACGTGTCAAGTGGGACAGAAGAACGGCGTTTCTGGTTGTATGGGATTATTCATTTCAACAGTCACCAGTGGTTAGTGGCTGTGAGATTGGCCCGCACGGGTCTCAGAGAACCACCTACCTGTGCTGGAGGCTGGAATGAACACAATGGCAGCTCCCCTTTGCTCTGTCTTCACTAGCATAGGCACACTGACCGCCCGTGCTAGTGGGCATTCTGCATGCACGACTGGACGGGTGAGAAAACTGAGTATCAAGTCGATAAGGCTCAGTTGTTAAGGATGACTCCCTGCTTCGTAACTCCTTGCTTTTCTACTTCCTGGCTGTGTGGCCACGAGCAAGTGCTTTGTTTCACTGTGCCTCAGTTTCCTCCTCTGCAGAATAGGTGTTATACCTGCCCTGACCTCATTGGGTTCTTGCGAAGGTTCGGTTAATTGACTCGTCTAAAAGCCCTTGGGCCAGGGTCTGGCACACCGTAAGCATTCAAAAGATTAATGTTTATTAGCATAAAATTTGTGCCAGGACTGTCACTGGGGCTGGGGCTACAACAGGGAACCAAACAGGTAGTGATGGGTGTTCACTCTCAGAGTCACAGGTTACTACAAGGCTGAACGTGAACTCAGGTCTCACCGATTCCAAACCCGAGTTGCTTATTAAAGCGGCAGCATCTCCCTAGTCAAGGAAGCCCAAAGAAAGTGTGTAAAGGGGTCGGTCGTGGCTTGGGCTCCAGGATGATCAGAATGAATGGGAACCACATCATCACGGCAGCATGGGGTGCTGGTGAGGACGGTGAGCTGGTCCCGGCTTAATTGTTCTTCATCGTCTCCTTGATCCAGTTCACGTATTTGCACACCTTGGTGTAGACACCAGGCTTTCTGGTGATGGCGCATGGGTCCTGGCCCCAGGAGATGATGCCTTGAAGAGATCCGTTACACACTAGAGGACCTCCGGAGTCACCCTGTGGGTGGGGAGGGAGAAAACCAGTCAGAGAGGATGGGGGCTGTGGGAGAGGGGAAGGTGTTGGGCGTGGCGTTAAGCAGGAGGTAGGTCTAGCCTTGGGAGTGTGGTGCACATTGGGGGGCCGATCGGAGGCGAGGCTGGAGTTATGGGTAGGAAACATGGGGTTAGGGTGGAAAATGATTAGGGGGATAAGTTAGGGTTGGGATGAGATCGTGGAGGGTAGGTGAAAACACAGCCCAGGTTGGAGACCCAGGCCCCGCCCTGTCACCTGGCAGGAGTCCTTGCCGGACTGCCGGACGCTTGCGCACACCATGGTGTTCGTGATGTTGCCCGGGTAGGCGTCCTCACACTCCTCGTGGTCGATGATGGTGATGTTGGCACATCGCAAGGTGTGGGGCAGGTGCACTGTGGAAACGTCAGGAAGGGGCGTGGAGACCAGCAGCCTGCTGGCTCCCTTCCCTTGCCCCAGAGCTGGTTCTGCACCCCGCACCCAGCCGGGGCCTTGCCCTGAATCCTGTCCCTGCGTTCGCTTACAGCCAGCTCATCTCTCTTGCTTGTAACAACAGCTATCGAGTAAGTTCTCAGTTGCTCTATAAACATGATCTCCCATTCAGCCCAATTAGGTGGGCGTGATTAAGCCTCATTTTATGGAGAAGAAAACCAAGGTTGAGAGAGGTGAAGCCTCTTGCCTAAGAAGATCTCACAGGCCACAGGTGTGGCACCTGTGACCACGCTTCTCGTGTCTGTCTGACTCGGAGGCCCACACTTTGGTCTCCACGGCCTCTGCCACCCCAGCCCTTTCCACTCCTCCTTTCAATGTATCCCACTCCTGACACCCCGGGGCAGCCTCCTCTGGTAACACTAGGGCTCATCTCGGGGTTTCCTACATCCTTCCAAATCATGGCCACCCTGCCCCCACCATGTCCCCACCCCATGGAGCTCCTACACTGGGGGCTGGATGTGCTTCCCCAGCCAGAAATGAGGCAGCTGGTGCCCGGAGAGACGCAGCGAGACGACAGGGTGAGGGGCCGCACGGCCCAGGTGATGAAGGCCGGTGCCTCCATCTTCACCAGCATGATGTCGTTGCGGTGGTCTTTGTTGGGGATGCTGTTGTTGAAGTCTGGGTGGGGGAAGGACTCCGTGGCCTGGCGGATCTGCGTGTGGCGGTCCCGCTGGTGGAGGTTGTGATCCCCCAGGTGAACGGTGTACTGGCTGAGGTGGGAGGGGCCATCGGTCAGAGGTGCGAGGGTTTGGGGGGAGACAGGGGGTGGGGCGAGAGGCACTGGGGGAGGGGGAGAGCTGAGCGCACAGGAGGGAATAAAGGGCCACGCCCCCACTTCCAACCCCACCCCTGGCTCCCGCTGAAAACGCTTCCTAACTGGACCCCGATCCCAACACCCAGCCCCGCACCCAGTTCCGACATCCTCCATGCTTTCCTCTTCAATCCCAAGTGGGGCCTCCGCCATCAATGCTAACCCCACCCTACTTTTCTCAACCCTACACACATTCTCCGCATCCCCAAGCCTCTTTCCATCCAGCTCCCCCGTCTCCAGCCCCCTCCCGGCCCCGCCCCAGCCCCCGCACCCACGGCTTGCGGCAGTGGGCAGCAGTCAGGACCCATTTTCGGGCGATGAGGGTCGCTCCGCACAGCAGCCGCGTGTTCTGGAAGAGAGCCGCTTGCCAGGGCTGAGAATGAGGGGGACACTCGTGCCCCTGGATGATCCTGGTCTCTCCCCCTGCGTGCCCTGTGGAGGGTGGGGGGCACAAGATGGGGCTCAGGCCTGAGAGGACTCTCAGGAGAGAAGGGGTGAGTGTCCGTGCCCCAGCCTGGGGCCCCCCTGGGATGCACTGTGCGGAGGATAGACCACTGAAACCCTTCCATCTCGGCTGGCCACTAGCCACTGTCCTGAGCTCTTTGAATGTCCCCCACTCCAGCCCAGCAGCCCTGAGCCCTCCCCTGGGACCCTCCATGACCTCTTCCTCTTCTAGCACCTAAAGGGATGTCACCGTAAAGCAAGGACCTCACTGTCACCCATATATCCATTCAGATGCCCTCTGGGTTACTCTATTTTGAATAGGAGCCTTGTCCACGTCCAGAATGAGAGGGCTGGGGGATTCTAGAGGCCGCAGAGGGAGGCCCGTGCCCTTCCCCTTCGCCCACCGTACCTGTCACCAGAACAAGTGTGATTAACCGCAGAATCGTCATGGCCTGGAGGGGGAGAGGGCAGGCCCCAGGATCTTCTGGGAACAAGGAGGTACAAGGGGCGGAATCACTTCATGGGGAGACTTCGGGCTGGGTCGTGCCCTCTCCTCTCTCCCTCCGACTATCCCCGGGGAGAAACTACAGGCCTGGAAAAATCTCCTCATTCTCACAGCGCCCCGACCTCCAAAACCTTACAGGAAATCTTTGGTAGGGAGGGTGGCCTCGGGGCCTGACCTCAGCTCGAAGCTTCTCGTATCCAAGGAGCATGTGGAGAGAGGCTGGGAGAGCCTGTGGCCAGGGCAGGTGTGGGGCTGGCCCTGTTTTAAGTCGGCCACTGGACCTCTGAGATTCACTTTGGAGAGTGCTTTTCTCTCCTTGTCCACCGGAGACCTAGCCGGGCCCCAGCAGCTCAGGGCGGGACAATAAAGGGGGGCTGGTACCCTGTAGCAACCACCCAGGGGGATATGGGCCCTTCAGGGGTTCCCCAGGGTGCAGAGGGGGCTCTGCCTGGGCCTGCTGAACCCTTGCGTTTTGGAAGGACAACTGGACAAAGCTGGGAGGGAGGGGCTGGTCACAGGAAAAGTCAATGCCCTCAGCTGCCCTGGCCAGCAGGGGTGGAGGTGGAGGGCTGGACTCGGTGACAGAAGCTGGGGTCAGAGGTCACCGAGGTTGGGGGCAGCCGGTTGGAGAGGCAGAGAGACAGGGACAGCCCCCACCCAAGCCTGGAAGGACAGAGCCGAGGGAGAAATGGTGCCGAGGCCCAGGAGGCCTGGTGCTCTGTCCGGAGCTGCCTGCAGCAGGGACCTCCCCTTCCCTCCCAGACTCACGGGCTCTGGGGCTGGGGCTCCGGGGGCCCACGGTGGTGGTGGTGGCGGCTGCGGCAGGCTGGGGCAGGCTGGGCCGGAGTGCAAGGCACCAGGCAGGCAGGAGGGAGGGGGGTGGCCCGTGATGACTGGGCCTCCCAGCCCTGCCTTATTGCCCTGGGGGCGGGGTGTGTGGGGGGGCCCTCCCCAGACGGGCCTCAGAGGCAATGCCGGCTGCCTGCCTGCCCGTATCACCTCTCCAAGCCCCTCTCCTCTCTGCTTCTCTCGGTTCCCCCCCCCCCCATCTGTCTGTTTACACCCTGCCCTGTCACTCCAAATCTCTCTCTTCATCTGTCATTCCCCCGCCTTTCTGTGATTCTGCGTGCATGTCATTTTCAGGCCTCGGCGTGGCTGTGTGTTCCTGTCTTCGTCTACTTCTGCTTTTATCTCCCACGCTCTCTTTTTCTTCTGGGTGTCCATCTCTGCCCCCCTCTCTCCCTCCAGCTGTCTTTCTCTCTCTCTCCCTGTCCCTAAAACCCTCTTCTCCTCCCTCATCTCCTCCTGTGCCTGCCCCTCCCTCCCCACAGCCTGAGCCCAGGTGGGCCCCTGGCCTCCTTTGGGCCCCTCCCTTCTCCATTCCAAGGTGGGGCTGCTGCCAGGCGAAGGGGCAGGACAGCAGGGTGGGGGAGGCAGGTTGGGGCCTGTGGGAGTTGAGGCCTCAGAGTGGGAAAATCAGGGCTCCTCTGCAGACCCTTCCCTCACCCCCTCTCTCCCCACTCCCAGTCCTCCAGGAACCCCAGGGACCTTGGATGGCAGCCACGGCACTTACTGGCTGTGTGACCCGGGTCCGATGACTTCCCAGATCGGAGCCACCTCATTTTCCTCGTCTGCAGACTCGAGGGACAATCCCTGTTTCTCCTGGCTTGTTATCGATTAGATCTCCTTGCCGTCTTGCCCTCTTCTCTCCCCTAACCAGATGCGGAGCAGGACTGCCGGGTAGGCCTGGGTTCTGGCAGCAGCCAGGCCTGGCCCCAAACCTCAGCTCTGCCTCTTCCTACCTCGATGACGTAGGACAGGGGACTCCACCCGCGTGAGGCTCAGTTTCTTCATCTGTGACATGGGGGTGACAACCCTGCCTCGGGATGAGGTGGGGACGAGGACTTCAGCAGAACCAAGGATAGGAGGCGCTCAGCAGATGTTCTCCCGGCTGTCACGGCCGCATCTCAGATTCCGTTTCCACTCGCTGGGGGGAAGTTCTCTTTCCACCTCAGGGAGAGGCGGTGAAGACAGACCCCAAGGGGATGGGCAGGACCATTTATTCTAAGAGGTAGCCTGGGTCCTCTTACCTTCCACGGGCTGCACCCCACCCTCTGTCATTGCAGACATAAAAAACGAACCCACACTCCATGTTAACTTTAATGCATGCCCAACTCCAGCAGAAGAACCAAGTCGCCATTGGCTAGGTGGAGGAATGTTACATGTTACAGACATTTAATTAAATGGTCATGAATTTTGATTTTACACGTTGTCATTTGGTATCTTGCAGCCAACGATTTTTTCCACCTTCAGGTCCTTATGAGCCTTTGAAAAGCTCTGGGTTGCTGTGCCTGTTGTGTCAGATGAAGAAAAGTGCACCCCCCCCCACCAACTTGTTTTGTTATAAATAACTTTTTCTATTCCATGTCTGCGTGGCCCCCAAGGGAAAGCCCTCACACTCTCTGATCTGTATTTCCATACCTGGGGGTAGGTGGTGAACTGATGAGCCCTCCCCCTCCATTCTCAGGAAAACCACATAGACATCACCCATTCTCAAGTTATTTTTATTCCAAATAGTCACATACTCCCTCCTCCTGGAACCACGAGTCTTAGAAGGGCTGGTTGGAGTTGGAGTTCCAGGAAGAAGATCCTCAGACCAAGATAAGTGAGAGTTGGGGCTGACAGTGGAGGAGAGGCTGGAACTCCGGGGGTCCCAATGGCCCCCAAGCTGGGGGTGGAGGTAGAAGAGCAGGTCAGTTGTTCCGTATGACCCTCTGGATCCAGTTCACATATTTGCAGATATTGGTGTAGACTCCCGGGATGCCTCCTTGCCCGCAAGGCCCCACGGACCCCCAGGACACCAGACCCTGAAGAACTCCTTTGCACACCAGAGGGCCACCAGAGTCACCCTGAAGGAAAAGGGGGAAGGAGCCTGGCCTGAATAGGGGAGAAAACCTGTTCCAGTTTCCCCCACCGCAACCCATTCCTGGGCCTGAGGACAGGGGCTCCAAGTCTTGTCATCGGGGAAAGAGCACAGCCAAGTTCCAGAAAGACAACAGCAGTGACTGAACAGTAGCGAACCCTAGGAGCTAAACCCAAGGAAGAAGGGCGGCACTCTGCAAAGGGTAGTGAGGTCCCTCAAAGACAATGGTTATGACTCTGACCAATGAGGGAAGAGGACACGGTCACCAACGACCAATCCCAGAGAAGAAGGGCGGGGCTTCACAGAGGGTAGAGAGGTCCCTCAAGGACAATGGCTGGGATCCTGACCAATGAGGCTCGAAAGCACAGGCACTGATAACCAATCCAAGCAAATGAGGGCGGGATTCTGTAAGAGTTCCTGAAGGGTGATGGCTGGGGCCCTGGCTGGAGGGGTGAGGCAGGCTTCCTCTCCGGAGGACCCAAGAGGGCAAAGTAGCAGAATTTGAGGGTGAGAGAGCTCTCCAGCCCTCTTTATGCCTCCATCTTGAAATCTCTCACAGGGGCCAGTATCAGCTGGAGGATGGTAGGGGGAAGACTCAGGACTGGAGAGGCAGTAGGTTATCTGCCTGAGCGCCAGGTGCCCTGCCGGCTGGTCCTTTGCCCTTCCCCATCTCCCTCTCCTTTCTCTGCCCACCCTCCCTCTTCCATTCCCTGGCTCTTCTTCCTGCTCTGTCTCCCCCCTTTATTCTGTGCCTGCCCTTCTTTCTGACCTCAGCTTTCTCCCTCACCCTTTTTCTCTGACTCACCCTCCCCATTTCCTCTTCTCTGTCCCCTACTTCCTGTCCTAGGTGACCACGCATTACCTGGCAGGCATCCTCCCCCGGGACGCCGCCCGCACACACCATGTTGTCCGTGATTCTCCCAGGGTACACGGCTTGGCAGGCGGCAGTGGAGACGATGGAGATATTGAGGCATTGGAGCAGGTCTGGGAAGGGGTCTGAGGGCGGAAGATGGATGCTGAAGTTCTCCCCTACAGCTCCCCACTTTGCAGACACATGCCTCCTCTCAAGGAAGCTCAGTCCAAGCCTCTAACCCATCCCCTCCCTGCGACCTCCATTACAACCCTCGAACCTCCAAATTTCTGATTTATGACTTGATTTCATAGTGACCCTTGACCCCGGTCCTGTTATTAACCTCTAACTTTGAGTGCCATAACTCTAGACCCTTTTAGTCCCTCCAACCTCAGATACAGTGAATGTGTCTGACCTTCAGTCTCAGCTGTTGTGACCTTCAACCTTCAATCTTACCATCCTTTGATTTCAAGTTGACCTCATGTCTTCTCTCTCCTGACCCCATATTTCTTCTCTTCACCTTGAGTTCCAACCTCAGTTCTACACTCTCTAAACCCTTGGTCCCTACTCCAAAGTGACCTCTGATCCTAGTTTATTTGAACCCTGACTATGTGACCCCTAACCTCCGGCTCCATAACCCTAAACACTATGGCTTCCCCCAATTTCAATCCTTAGGTTGTGGTCAGCTTTTGCAACATGTGTATCCTATGACCTCAATTCTTCAATGACCTCGACCACCAGAGTCCATGACCCATGACCTGTGACCCCATGATCCTGTTTATATATGCCTTTTGCCCCAGTTTAATGACCCTCGATGGCATTCTGACCTCTAAGGACATCGTTGACCCATGACTTCTGACTCTGTACGCAACCCCTTAACCACTTAGACTCCCGAGACCTGATCCGCCATGATCTTCAGCCCCAAACTACAACCCTGATGTTTGAACATTTACCCAACCTTCCTCTGACATGGTGTTCCTCCTGACCTCTCACTCTCCACCCGGATTTGGCCCATCCTGATCCCTGACCCCAGGGCCCCCTTACTCCATGGTCGGTTGGTGGTGCCCCAGCCTGAGATGTGGCACTGAGTGCCAGGCGCTGCACAGCTGGTGGGAAGGGCCAGGGGCTGGACGCTGCGGGTCAGGAGGACGGGGGTGCCCAGTCTCAGGAGCCGCAGGTCATGCTCGTGACTCCTCCGGCTTCCCTGGTAGTCGGGGTAGGTGATGGAGAAGCCACTGCGCCGGATCTGTTCTGTCCAGTCCAGGCGACTGAGGCTGTGCTCCCCTAGGCGCACCCAGTACCTGCTGGGGGTCCAGTTGGCTCAGCAGGTGGACCACCCCCAGGCCCCCAGGACCTCCTGCTTCTCTTTCATGTCCCCTGTTCCTTGGCCCTTGTTCTCTGTCTTGGGTGCCCTCTCTCCATCTCTTGGTCTCTGTCTCCATCACCCAGTGTTCCCCAGGCCGCTGCATTGGGTCCCCTTCTGATTCTCTTAGTTGGCGAGGCCCACAGGGGTAGGGGCATCTTTTAGTCTCCTTTGCTGCTCTGTTCCCACCACTGAGGGGCCTGCCTGGGCTGTCAATCTTGTTGAGAAAGTGAATGCTCCTCTTTGTCCTGCTTGGATTTCTCCCTGTCCCCACATCTCTCCATCTCCTTCTGTCTGAAACTTTCTTTTTGCATGAAATCCAGACCTAGAAAGCCCAATGTGCTGTCATGTGACACATGGGGCCACCGAGTCTGCACAAAGAATCTGGGTCAGACCTGAGCCCAGGGCCCAACCTGGGTCAGAGAATGGCTGGGGCTGGTGACAGATGCTTTATAGGGAAGGGACTGGGATTCGAAAGAATGGGAGGTGGGTAGGCAGGTTCCTGGACCCTCCCCCTGCCCTCCACCCCACTGAACCCCAGCCAGCCCCACCCCAGGCCCATTTTTTGAGAAAGTCCTACCCTTTGTCTAACCTCAGAGTCTCTTCTGGCAGGACCACCTCCTTTCTCCTAGACACTCCCTCCCGTGAGCCCCTACCCCCAGCTCTCTCCTCCCATCCCCCATCTTTGCCCACTCTGGCAAGAGACACAAACAGGGGGCTTACCTGCCGCTGCAGTGAGCAGCTGTGAGGACCCACCTGCGGTCAACGAGGACCCCCCCACAGCGCAGGTTGGCACCTTCAAACAGCCCCACCTGCCAAGGTTGCGAGTGAGGAACACACTCCGTGCCATTATAAATCTTCTCTGTGGATGCATGGCTGAGCCCTGAGGACGGGGTATGGGCCAGAGAGGTGAGGTCAGGGACTTGGAGATTGTGGATCAGATATAGAAACAAATTCAGAGATGGCGAGACACAGAAAGAAAAAGAAGCGCCAGGAAGACAGAGACCCTGAGAGAGAGCCGAGCATAGGGAGACACCTAGTGATGTATAGAGAAAAGATACAGTGTAACCCCAAGAGATACAGAGAGGAAAAGAGGGAAGCAGGAAGAGAGAGAGATGCTTAAAGACAGGAGATAGCGAGAGCAAGAGAGAGACAGAGAGAAAGAAAGGAGACACAGTCACAGGGGGAGGTAGAGAGGAGGTGGATCAAAAAGATACAGAGAGAGGTGAGGAGACCCTGGGCACTGGAGGTGAATGAAGGCACAGAGTCAGCCCTTCTCCCTGCCTCACTGCCAGGCTGGGGCCAGCACTGAGATGGGGAGATGAGTGTCCCTTTGTGGGGGAGGTAGGGACTCCCCTTCCCCCTGAGGAACTCACCAATAACACACAGGAGCCAAAAGATGCAGGACCCCATGGTGGGCCACCTCCAGGTTCTGAGGAACAGGTAGGGGGATTCTCAGAGATGGCTCTCTTCTTGTCGACCCGCTCCTCCCTTCCTCGCCCTTCTCACATCAGCTCCACGAAGAGGGGGTGCCCTCCTGCCCCGTCTCTGCCTGTCTCCTGGCCCGCCCGTCACCCCCCTCACCTGTGACTGCCTGCCTCCTGCTCACCTGGTCTCTCTGCCTGCTGGGTCCTCCATGTGGCTGTCACAGTTTCAGCTTCTCTGCGTCTCTATTATCTGTCTGTCCACCTACCCGCCTATCTCGTCACCTGCTGGCCAGTCAACGCTCCCACTGTCCACCTGGCTTCTCAGCCAACCTGTCATGCTGCCCCACCTGTCCCCCTCCTTCTGTCTGTCTGTCCCAGGCCTGTGGCGGCTGACACAGCTTTTAACCGTCTTTGTTCTAGCCCATTCAATTTCCTGGTGGAGGGAAGGGGATGAGGAAGACACTGGGTGGAGTGCCCTCTAATCCCCTGGAAACTCTTCCAGACACGGATGACTCTTAATTGAGTTTCACAGATGAAAGGAGGAAGGGGAACAGGGAGGGGGCCTGGGATGGCTCTGGAGGAAGGCAGGACCCCACCCCTTCTTTCCTTCTCTCCAAACCAGCCAGCCGTTCCTCCCGCCTCATCTCCTGCTGTTGACTCAAGGTCGTCTCCCAGCTGGGCTCTAGTTCCAACACCAGTGAAATAGGTAGGCTCCGGGAGGGCGGGGCTCAGGGACACCTGGCTGAGGGGGAAGTGAGAGGCAGGGAAGTCTAAGGCAGAGAGAGTCTGGGAAAGAGAAGAGGAGGAGAAGGAAGAGACTTCATATGAGGTGACAGAAGCAGGTTTGCAAACTGGGTTCTGTGGATGTCTGAGGCTGACGGAAGGTTGTTTTTAATAATAAGATTTTCATTTATTGATTTATTCATGGGTTGACTCTTGTATGTGACCTGACCGGAGATCGAACCTGCAGCCTTGGTGTGTGGAGGGCTATCGGGCCAGGGTCCACGAAAGGTTTTTCTTTGCAAAAGGGGTTCCTCCGAGAAAGGAACAGAAGGGTGAGGGAACAAAGAGGAGAGGGCTCCCCACTCCACTCCCATGTATTTTGGGGGGATCTTTTCCCCTCTGAACTTAGAATTACAACATTTCAGGTTTTGATTTGTTGTGAAACACCACCTAATTTCTCCCTTTTTTGTGGATTTGTGTGTGTGTGTGTGTGTGTGTGTGTGTGTGTGTGTGTGTGTTGGGGGTGAAATCTGGTTTATTGAGGTGCAATTTACATGCAAAAAAATTCACTCTTTAGCCTCAGTCAGGAGCTGTGCTTCTGGAACCTGGGCCCACCTGACTTTTCAAGAAAAGCTGGAAATTCAGACTTATGTTGGGACATTTCCCAACTCCCAATATTGGCCAGTGTGCTCTTCCCAAGAAAACAGCTATAGGCCCAGAACAGAACTCTTCTTTCTTCCCTCTTCACACATCCCTCTCACTCTCTCTGCTTTTCTTTTTCTTTCTTTCTTTTTTTTTTGAAGTAAAATTCACATAACATAAAATCGGGCATTTGAATGATTTTATAGTCTACTATTCCACAGATTCCATTGCACTCGCCAAGCTGTGCAACCATTACCACAATCCAATCAAGAACGTTTTCAGCCCTGGCTAGTGTGGCTCAGTGGATTGAGCACGGGCCTGTGAACCAAAAGATCGCGGTTTGATTCCCAGTCTGGGCACATGCTTTGGGTTGCAGGCCAGTTCCCAGCACGGGACACACAAGAGGCAACCATACATTGATGTTTCTCTCCCCCTCTCCTTCCCTTCCCCTGTAAAGATTTAAAAAAAAAAAAAAAGATTTCATGTTCCCTCAAGGGACCCCCATACCCATTCAGCTGATGCCCAACAGATGAATGGAGAAATAAAATATGGTCCTCTCACACAACAGGCTATTATTCAGCTGTAAAACAAGAATGAGGGCCCTGGCTGGTGTAGCTCAGTGGATTGAGCACGGGCCTGCGAATCAAAGGATCGCGGTTCGATTCCCAGTCAGGGCACATGCCAGGGTTGCAGGCTGGTTCCCTGCAGGCCAGTTCCCAGCAGGGGATGCACAAAAGGCAACCATACATTGATATTTCTCTCCCTCTCTCCTTCCCTTCCCCTCTAAATATAAATAAATAAAATCTTAAAAAAAAAAAAAAGAATGAAGCGCTGATATGAGCCACAGCATGGATGAACCTTGAAAGCCTGAGGCTGAGTGGGGGGTGGGGAAAGAGACACAAAAGACCACATGTAGGATTCCATGTTTATGAAATGTCCCAAACAGGCAGATCCAGAGAGCAGGTTAGTGCCTGCTGGAGGCTGAGGGCAGTTGGGGGATGAGGAGTGGAGGGATGGCTTAGTGTTTCTCTTTGACACAGGAATGTGCAGTCTGTGGCTTCTGGCTGGAGCCAATTTCACGTTCTTGTAGCAGAAAGCTCAGAGAGCAGAGATTGGCTTGCAGGTCCCAGCACCTTTGCCAGGAGGGCCCCTTGGAGGGCCCCTTGGAAGTCCCCCAGGAGGGCCCCTTGCCTCCCACTCTACTCTTGGTTCTCATCATCCACACAATACAAAAAGCCCACTGCCCAGAGAGAACTCAGCCACCTGACACTTGGTCGTAAATGTGGAAAAGGAGGCACCGCTAGACAAAGACACACGCACAGTGGGTGAGTGGCAGAACCAGAGTTTGAACCCAGGCAGGCTGTCTTCCAGAGCCTGTGTTGTTAATCATTGTCCAAACACAGGAATGAACAGATGAGTGACCGAATAAGTGCACGGGTGTATAGATGAATGGAGGGCCTTTTCTACAGGATCCAAAGAGGATAGCTCTTGGAATCCTGCAGACTGGATTGACATTCAGCTCACCCCATGACTCACTGGGGCCACTGAATCCCTTGCTTGTCCTGACCTCAGTTGGCCCACCTGAAAAGTGGGGCTGGCGGGAAGCTAAGTGTCTCCACATGGTTTCCTCCTGGGATCATCAAACCTGGTAACAGAGATGGGTGGGGCCCCTGGATGGTGTGGCTCAGTGGATTGAGTGCGGGCTTACGAACCAAAGGGTTGCGGGTTCAGTTCCCAATCAGGGCACGTGCCTGTGTTGGACCAGATTCCCCAGTGGGGAGTGCATGAGAGGCAGCCATACATCAATGTTTCTCTTTCTCTCCCTCTCTTCCACTTTTTCTAAAAATAAATAAATAAAATCTTAAAGGAAAGATGGGTGGGGATATCAGGTAGGTGAGCTATAGACACTATCGAAATTACCCATGTCACTTTATTTCTTTTCTTTAGCCTGGTTGCTTAGTTGGTTGGAGGGTCATCCAGTACACCTAAAGGACTGCAGGTTCAATTCCTGGTCAGGGCACATATCTAGGTTGCAGTTTCAATCCTCAGTCGGGAAGTGTATAGGAGGCAGCCAATCAGTGTTTTTCTCTCACATCACTGTCTCTCTCTCTCTCTCTCTCCCTTCCCCTCTCTGAAAACATTACAAATAACCTTGGGTAAGGATTAAAATTTTATTTATTTTTTAAGATTTTTTTTCAGTGTCTTGCTTTTTTAAAAAAGATTTTATTTATTTATTTTAGACAGAGGGAAAGGGAGGGACAAAGAGAGGGAGAGGAAATCAATGTATGGTTGCCCCTTGCATGTCCTCTATTAGGGACCTGGCCCACAACCCAGGCATGTGTCCTGACTGGGAGTCAAGCAGGTGATCACTGGGTTTGCAGGCTGGTGCTCAATCTGCTGAGCCACACCAGTCAGGGCTAATTTTTACTTTTTAAATTACAGTTAAGCGTCGATCAGTAGGCAACTGGGTAAAGGCGACATGGTACATATATACAATGGAACAGTACTTGGCCATAAAAGAAGAATGAACTCTTACCATCTGCAACAACATAGATGGACTTAGAATTTATTATGCTAGGTGAAATAAGTCAGACAGAGAATGTCAATTTCTTTATTTAAAAAAAATGGGCAAAGCTGACTTAAATGACAGAATCTTTTTTTTCCCCTCTCAGATAGTGAAAAAATACGAGCTACATCTTGGTGCTACCACTTCTTTCTCTTCTGTCTATGTTTCTACCTCATTTGATTCCTCGGCTCACTCATTTGTGTTCATTCAGTCACTCAACAAACACCCTGAGAAGCCTGTGTGCCTAATGCTGTGCTGGGTGACCCTGGGACCACAGAGTTCATTCGACTCAGCCCCACAGCTCTGCCTTCCCACCATCTTTCCCCAGCAGACTATTCCACGGGTCCCAGTCACTGTGTGCACCCTGGAGCGAGGCTCTTTTTGGGTTCCCACAGACTTCCATGTTGAGCAACCCAGAGGCCACCTGTCTGCCCATTTGTCGGAACATTTCTTACTCAACCTTTCCGCAACATTCCACACGCCGGCCGCTCCTCTCCAGCTTCCGGAAGCCATGCATTGCTGGTTTTCCTCCTACTTTGTTGGCTCCCCTTCCTGGCCTCCTGTATGAATAGGCCTTTTCTTCCTTCACTGGTGTCCTCACAAACAAGGGTGTTCCCAGGGCCCCATCCTAAGCCACGGCAGATGCACTGACTGCATATACCTGACAGTCTCTACCTGTCATCTGTCACTGGGGCGGCTTGGTTCTCAGGCCTCTCCCCAGCTTCCTGAATGACCCAAACTGAGATCACCAGCTGTCTGCAACAACCTGCTCTCAGACTCCAGTTGGTCTGCGTGGTGGCCACACCATCTACTCAGTCCCCTGGTGCAGACCCTCGGGAGCCCGACCCTATCTAGAACCCACATGCCTGGACGTGACCCATCAGGTCCCAAGACTGACTGTCTCCACGACCGGCTCTCTGTCTCTGAGATCCCTCTCCCCAGTTTCTGCCGTCTGAGTCCAGTTGGCTTCCAAACTGCCTGCCCTGGGTCTCCTGCCTCCTCAACCCTTTCACCACCTATTTGCTTCTTTTATCTTGCTGTCACACTTGTTAAAAATCAAAGCTTGGAGGCCCTGGCTGGTGTAGCTCAGTGGATTGAGCGTGGGCCTGTGGACCACACGATTGTGGTTCGATTCCTAGTCAGGGCACATGCCTAGGTTGCAGGCCAGTTCCCAGCAGGGGACTCACGAGAGGCAACCATACATTGATGTTTCTCATCTTCTCTCCTTCCTTTCCTCTCTAAAGATAAATAAATAAAATCTTTAATAAAAATAAAAATCAAAGCTTGGGCTTAAATCCCATGGTCCCCTGTGATAGTATAATTTGCAGTGAGAAATAGATGTTTGGTCTTCCTCCCGATTTTGGCACAGAGCCCCTAACACCTTTGAAATTTCCGGAGTGGAGGTATCTCTTGTTAGGGGAATGAAGTGACATTTGGGAAGCTCCTAAGGATTGGGGGCTGGTTTCCAGGGGAACCAACCATGGGATTAGAGGGTTGGAACTTTCACTCCCAACCCCCACCCCCCCCACCTCTGGGGACGAGATAGAAGCTGGAGGTTGAATCTGTCACCAATGGCCAAGAGTTTAATGAATCCTGCTTGTGGAATGAAACCTTCCTAAAAACCCAGCAGGAGAGGCTTCAGAGAGCTTCTTCAGGGTTGGTGACTACGTGGAGATTTGGGGACAGAGGTGCCTGGAGAGAACATGCAAGTTTTAAGCTCCTTCCCACATACCTGGCTCTTGGTATCTCTTCCATCTGGCTGTTCCCGAGTTATATCCTTTCATAATAAACTGGTGGTCTAGTAAGTAAAATGTTCCTCTGCGTTCTGGAAGCCACTCTAGCAAACTAAGCGAACCCAAGGAGGGAGTTGTAACCTCGGATCTACAGGTGGTGGTCAGGAGCACAGGTGAGAGAACCTGGACTTTTGATTGGCGTCTGAAGTGGGGCGGGAAGCAGGGGACATGAGAGGGGGAGGGAAAGTTTTGTAGGACCCCTACAAAACTTTAATTTGTGGGATCTGACCATCTCCTGGTGACAGTGTCAGACTGGAGTTTCAGTTGTAAGGACACCCAGCTGGTGTCCAAGAATTGTTTGGTGAGGTGGGCAACCCCACTCCATACATTAGAATTGGGTGTACATCCCTATAACCCCCCATTAGCCTGGGAAGTCCAGCCTAGGTCCTTATGCAAGGCCCACAGCTGAGGCAGTGACTGAGCTTGACCTGGACCCTCCGGATTATAAACCCTGGGGAATGATCATGGAGAAAAGTACAGGAATGTGTCCCCATCAGCCTGGACAAGCTCAACTCACTGGTGAATTTTCCTTAGTCTGGGTTGACACTTCTGGAAACTGGGAGGCTGACATTTCCCCCACAGGGGTCTTGGGGGAATGAAAATGGGTTTTTGGGCTGGGCCAGTGCCTGGAAGTATTGCCACCCCTTTGGCCCCATCCTTTGTGGCTTTTCCATCTCTCTTCCTAGTCTCCTTCTTCAGCTTTCCAAATTCCTCTCCAGCCCCGTCCCTACTGTTATTAACATATACCTAGGCAAAAGAAAGAAAGAGAGAGAGAGAAAAAGAAAAAGAGAGAGAGAAAGAAAGAAAGAAAGTAAGGAAGGAAGGAAGAAAAGAAAGGAAGGAAGAAAGAAAAAGAACACCTGGCTTTGAAGTCCTGGGAGGGAGGAGAAGAGGCTCAGAAGCCTTAGAGCCCAGCCACCTGACTGGCTTTCCTGACTTAAGGTGTGGGTAGCCACAATCTCCAGCTCAGGTATGTCATTATCTTCTGTTCCCTGTTCCACAGGAAGGATTTGGGCGGCCACCTCTCACTCGCAAATCCTCAGCTGTCACCGAAGACTGCTTGCTCTGGCAGCCTGGGAGACATAGTGTCCTAACAATTATATCAGTAAGAGCAACAATACTAATGAGAGCTGCTACTTACTAAGCCCTTACTCAGTACCTGGTGTTCTTTTGAGAGCTTTGCACAGGTTAATGTATCAGTCTCCCCGGGAGCCCTCTGAAGCACATGCTATCTCCTTCGGTGTTTATTAATATATGTAACTAGTTCTTCATCCTCAAAAGGAGATTTGAACTGGTGACCTTAGTTTCCTTATTTTATTCCTTCTTATACCACTTCTTCCTGCTATTCTATCATTGTGGATCTTTTGCCATTATCTTTATTATCTATCTTTGCTATTATTTTTACTATTGTGTATGTTTTGCTAGTTTTTATTATTATGTAGCCTTCGCTATTATCTTTGTTACTGGATATCCTTGTTATTGTTTCCATAACTGTGTACCTTTTGCTATTGTACTTATTATTGCAGGGCTTTTAAAAAATTAAGATGAACTGCACACATTAAAGGAACCCATTCAAGGTGAACAGTTCAGTGGTATTTAGTACATTCGCAAATGTTGTAGCTTTATTAGTATGTGGTATAACAAGTTGCATATTGTTTTGTGTGTGCCATCTTCTTCCCAGACTACCCTATTTCTTTCTTTATTTATTTATTTATTTATTTTAAAAGATTTTATTTATTTATCTTTAGAGGGGAAGGGAAGGAGAGAGGGAGAGAAACATCAATGTATGGTTGCCTTTCGTGCGTCCTCTGCTGGGAACTGGCCTGCAGGGAACCTGCCTGCAACCTTGGCATGTGCCCTGACTGGGAATCGAACCGCGATTGTCCGGTTTGCAGGCCCGCGCTCAATCCACTGAGCTGCACCAGCCAGGGCCCAGACTACCCTATTTAAAAGCAACTCCAGTTCTGGCCACAGGTAGCTCAGTTGGTTAGAGCATCACCCCACTACATCAAGGTGGCAGGTTTGATCCTGGTCAGGGCATGTACAAGAATCAACCAAGGAGCACTGGCTGGTGTGGCTCAGTGGATTGAGCACTAGCCTGTGAACCAGAAAGTTGCAGGTTTGACTCCTGGTCAGAGCCAATGCTTGGGTTGTGGGCCAGCTTCCCCACTGGGGGCAAGGGAGAGGGAACCAAACGATGTTGCTCTCCCTCTCTTTTTTCTTCTATCTCTAAAAATAAATAAAAATTTTAGAAAGAAAAAGGATCCACCAACAAAAGCATAAATAAGTGGAACAATAAATCCATTCCTGGTTTGGTCACATGCCTGGGTTGTGGGCCAGGTCCCCAGGTTGGAGCCTGTGAGAGGCAACGGATTGATGTATCTCTCACACATTGATGTTTCTCTCCCTCTCCTTCTCCCTCCCTTCAACTCTCTAAAAGTAAATAAATAAAAGCAACTCCACTCACTCTCCCTATCTTTCCACCCTGCCCCCCCTTTTTGAACCACCTGACAATCTATCTCTTTTTTTAAAAAATAATTTTATTTATTTATTTTTTAGATTTTATTTATCTTTAGAAGGGAAGGGAAAGAGAGAGGGAGAGAAATATCAATGTATGGTTGCTTCTCATGTGTCCCATGCTGGGAACTGGCCCCTGCTGGGAACTGGCCTGCAACCCAGGCATGTGCCCTGACTGGGAATCGAACCACGATCCTTTGGTTCACAGGCCTGTGCTCAATCCACTGAGCTACACCAGCCAGGGCCTTTTTTTTTTTTTAATAAAGTTTTTTTTAAAGATTTTATTTATTTATTTTAGAGAGTGAGGAAGGTTGGGGGAGAGAGAGAGGGAGAGAAACATCAATGTGTGGTTGCCTCTTGCATGCCCCTACTGGGGACCTGGCCCTCTCAACCCAGGCATGTGCCCTGACTGGTAATTGAACCAGCAACCCTTTGGTTGGCAGACTAGCACTCAATCCACTGTGCCAATCCAGTCAGGGTTGTTTTTTTTTAAATAAAGTTTTTTTAAAAAGATTTTATTTATTAACCTCCTAACAATCTATCTCTTAATTCACCTTTTTTATTATGCATCTCCCCACACACACACAAAAAAGAAAAAAAATGTAAACTCTACAAGGGTAGAAGTTTCTGTCTGTTTAATTCACTGTTTATCACTGTGTCTACAAAAATGCCTGGCTTATCATAGGTACCAACATTTGAATAAACAAAAGTATATTTGCCAATACTCAGGATAGTGCCTGCACATGTCAACCCTGAATAAATGTTTGCTGAGAAAAATAAGGAAGTGCAACACCCTTTGACACTCTTCAAAGGGGTTGTTATTGACACCCAAAGGTAATCTTTTATAGAGAACCACCCAGATAAGAGGTAAGCCAACCTTTATCTGCATAACAATGCTATGAAGAAAAGTTCTGAGCCCTGGCTGATGTGGCTCATTGGATTGAGTGCTGGCCTGCAAACTGAAACTTCACTGGTTCGATTCCCAGTCAGGGCACATGCCTGGGTTGCTGGCCAGTTTCCCGGTTGGGGGCATATGGGAGGCAACCAATCGATGTATCTATCACACATCAATCACATCAATGTTTCTCTCCCTCTTTCTCCCTCCCTTCTCTAAAAATAAATAAGCAGAAATTATGAGCCCCGTTTTACAGATGAGGAGACATGGTGAGTTTTATAACTCATTCAGAGGAGGGACCACAGTGGCTTAAGCATTTCACCATTGTGTTCTGGGGTCATGGGCAAAGATGCCACAATAGCACGGGGCACTGAACCAGTGTCGATGGAGAGGGGCAAGATATTTAGTGGAGAGTAGGGTCTAGGCATGGAGGCCCCTTTGGGATACTGAAGGCCCCATCACTGTTGATTCTAGAGTGGGCATGGGAATTCAGAGACAGGCAGTATTGCCAGAGGCCAGGTATCCGTAGGGAGGGGTCATTTGGGAAGCCCGGAACTATGTAAGGATGCACCGTTCTGAGGACCCCATGTTGGCTGTGGTGATATTCAGAAGGACCTACCATGTTGGCAGGGCAGAAGAGAATACTTTCAGAGTGAAACATCATGGGATCCTGGGAGCCTAGGGCCTTCCCGAATCCAACATGTAGAAGGACCTAGAACCCTGGCAATGACTAGACACCTGAAGGGGTCTGGAATATTTTCAAGGATGGTGTGTTCATGGAACTTAGCATCTTGTTAGGACGGGCTGGAGATCTTTCAGGGCTTCACAGATAAAACATTTGGATGGCGATCTGGGTTTATGTTGAAACAGTTGGGAGATCCGGAACGTGTCTGGGCTGGGACATTCAGGGCACTGGGGTGTTTCAGGGGCACATCGTTTGGCAGAACATGATGCTGGCAGTGACTGAGTGCTTTTGAAACACGGAATGTCAGCTGGGATGGGGCCTTTGGAGAACGCGGATCGCCGGTGTGAGGGGACCCGGCCGGGAGGGGCAGAGCTGGGTGGGCAAGCTGAGTAAGGAGGGCACCAGCGGGGGAAGAAGGTGGGTCAGTCAGTCCGACTTTTATTGCAGGCCCTCTGTCCATTTCTCCTCCTGCGTTGTCTGTTTTCGGATCGTTTTTTGGATCCAGGAAGTGTACTGAGAGACTCGGGTGTAGACGCCAGGCCGGTTGGGCTGCCCGCAGGGGAAGTCTCCCCAGGAGATGATGCCATAGAGGGTTCCGTCACAAACCAGGGGGCCTCCGGAGTCACCCTGCAGCAGGAGACAGAAAGGTGGGGTCCTGGCTGGGGCCAAGCAAAGGCAGAGATGGGGACTTGTGGGGAGATTGTGAGCGATGGGGAGAGGCAGATGTGGAGACAGGGGCAGGAATACAGAGAGACAGCAGCAGACACGAGTAGTGGTCAGAAGGCAAACACAGAAAGACCGAGAATGAGAGAGAAATAGAAAGGCCAAGATGGACCCTGAGACAGAGAGAGACTTCTGGGTCTCCATTTTTTTTTTTTGGCTTCTCCATCTCACGAAAGTACTGACAGCTTACCTTATACACCTGTTCTTGTTTTTTTTTGCCCCAAATCCCACCTTTCACTCCCTGTCTGCCAAATGTGCTGCTGTTTTATGGTTTATTCATGTCCTCTTCTGACTGAGTTAACACTCCCCCCCCCAACACATCTGGGTGGGGTTTATACACACCAGGGCTTCATCTCCTCTGGGCCCAGGACAGGTATTACTACTATCAATAAGGCACTCATCATACCCTTTCTTACTGAAACAAGCCTCTACCCCTTTTCTTGGACACAGGTTGAGTCCTATTTACCACAGGGCAAATACCACATTTTGCCTGTGTGGTATTCACTGCACCTTATTTTGGTAACAGCCTCCTGAGTTTTTCATTTGGGGAGTGACCCCTCTCCTACTCTCCAAGTTTGTTCCCGCCCCTCCCACCCCCCACAGTTAGTCATGTGACCCAAATTTGGTCCATCAGAGAATCCCACAGCTCTGGCCAGAGGGATGGTTACAGAATATTACTTAAGTCAGCCTAGTGAGAGTCATGCTCAGGATGTTGCCCTGGCTGGTGTGGCTCAGTGGATTGAGCACCAGCTTGTGAACCAAAGAGTCGTGGGTTCGATTCCCAGGGCACATGCCTGGGTTTCCGGCCAGGTCCCCCAGTTAGGGATGTGCGAGACGCAATCTGTCCATGTTTCTCTCACACACTGATGTCTCTCTCCCTCTCTTTCTCCCTCCTTTTTTCTCTCTCTAAAAACAAATAAAGAAAATCTTTTTAAAAAGAAAGAAAGCATGTTTATGTAAGTCTTAAACATATCAGGTATGTACCTGGACCAACCCATGCCTGAAGCAGGAACCTCTGGACTTTGCAGTTACAAAAGGCACTGCTTTACCTGAGGCAGTCTGTTAGTTGTTTTTTTGTCACTTGTAACCAAAAAACACCCTAATTCTTATGCATGTCAACCCCAGGCTCTGGGCAGCCAACTGCCAGGCAAAACTGGGGCTTAAGATGAATTATGTTTGCCATCCATGGGTATTTTGCTTTGTCTTGACTCTCTATGCTGGGGGATAACTCACCTTACACAGCCTGGTTCTGCAGAGGCTACGAGCAAGTCCTTCCCCACCAGCCTCTGTCCCTTCATCCTGGCTTCCCATCCAGGCCCATGGCAGCCCCCACCCCCAGCCCCTCGTGGCCTCACCTCACAGGAGTCCTTGCCGCCCTCCTGTGTTCCCGCACACAGCATGTTGGGTGTGATCCTGCCAGGGTAGACTTTACGACACTCCTCATCTGAGCGTAGCTGGATGTTGGCACACTGCAAGGTTTGTGGGTAACTCACTGGAGAGGAGAGAGAGGAAGGTCTAAGGATAGCTGTCTTGGACAGGCTATGAGACTTGAAGCGAGAGCTGGAGGGGAGAGATGGTTGTGGGGAAAGTGACCAGAGAGCCAGAAACGTGGAGAGAGCTGGGAGAGGGGTGAAAAGAAAGGGGAGGGAGAGATGGAGAGGGACGGGGCTGGGACCTGAGTGTGGAGAGACACAAATGGGACAGATGGGGGTGGGAGAAATAGGAAGACAGAGGCGGTGGGAGAGTCCCAGAGGTGGAGCGAACATGGGAGAGGTGGAAGGGATCACAGGAGCAGGGAAGTGGTGGAAAGAGCGATGGGAAATGCCAGGCAGACAGACGCGGAAGTGAAGCTGGCGGAGAGCTGAGGATGGCAGAGGAGACGCCCAGGACTCTGCTGCTGTAGATCAGTCCGGCCTTCATACACGCATAATTTACACACGGAGGCCATGGTTGCTTGTATTTTATCCCATTTAATGACTATCAAAATATCACTTACTTTATAAATTCTATGTCTATGTACTTATTTAAAGATACTTGTGGGACTTCCGCCAAGATGGAGGCGTAGGTGGAAACACCTTGCGTCTGCGTACAACCAAATCTAAAAATAATAAAGTTTTAACAACAACAGACACAACCAAACCACACAGAAAATTGGCAATATGGAGTCCAAAAACAACAAAATACTTAGCTAAACCGGTGAGAGGGGCGAAGCCAGCAGTGGAGTGGGTTGGCCAAAAGGATCCCCAAACTGGGTGGGGCACAGGCAGCCAAAGGCGCGGATCCCAGGTGCGGGCTGGCTATGGGTGGACACAGGGAAGAGGCGCGGCTGGCTGTCTGCGGTCGGTGGAGCGTTTGCATGCAGATAAACCAGTGAAGAGGCGAGCGTTGAGACCACATGGGGCGGGGGGCTTGCACATTTCCGCTCAGATAAACAGGTGGGGGCGAGTGGTGGGATGGACTGGGCAAGCGGAGAGGACCACCATTGCTCCCTCTCTGACCCTGTCCCCACATACAGTGTCACAAACCAGTAACCTGAATGGCCCCACCCTGGTAAACAACTAAGGCTCGGCTCCTCATACGTAACAGGCACGAACAGATAAAAACATGGCTCAAGAATAACTCAGAGCCCCAGAGCCGATAAATCTAAGCGATGAAGAAATAGCCAAACTTTCAGATGCACAGTTCAAAACACTGGTGATCAGGATGCTCACAGAACTGGTTGATTTTAGTCACAAATTAGAGGAACATATGAAGGCTAAACTAATTGAAATGAATGGTAATGCACAGGAAACCAATAGTAATGGAAAGGAAACTGGGAATCAAATCAAGGGAGTAGAGCAGAAGGAAGAAAAAAATGACCAAACAAAAAAGAATGAAGAAACAACAATTCAAAAAAATGAGGAGAGGCTTAGGAACCTCCAGGACATCTTTAAACGTTCCAACATTCAAATTATAGGGGTACCAGAAGGGGAAGAAGAACAGTCACGAGTGGAAACCTTATTTCAACAAATAATAAAAGAGAACTTCCCCATTCTGGCAAAGGAAATAGACTTCCAGGAAATCCAGGAAGCTCAGAGAGTCCCAAAGAAGTTGGACCCAAGAAGGAACACGCCAAGGCACATCATAATTACATTAGCCAAGATTAAAATGAAGGAGAGAATCCTAGAAGCAGCAAGAGATAAGGGGACAGTCACCTACAAAGGAGTTCCCATCAGACTGTCAGCTGATTTCTCAAAAGAGACCTTACAGGCAAGAAGGGGCTGGAAAGAGGTATTCCAAATCATGAAAACCAACGACCTACAACCAAGATTGCTCTATTCAGAAAAGTTTTCATTTAGAATGGAAGGACAGATAAAGCGCTTCTCAGATAAGATCAAATTCAAGGAGTTCATCATCACCAAGCCATTATTATATGAAATGTTAAAGGGACTTACCTAAGAAAAAGAAGATAAAAAAGATTCACAGTGAAAGGACAGCAAACTCACAGTTGTAAACAACCACACCTAAAACAAAAGCAAATTAAGAGGACAGCTAGAGGAGTGAACCATAGAAATGAAGATCATGTGGAGGATTAGCAACAGGGGAGTGGGAGAATGAGAAGAGGGGAGAAGGTACAGAAAATAAGTAGCATAGACAGTAGATAGAAAATAGATAGGGGGAGGGTAAGAATAGTAGGGGAAATACAGAATCTAAAGAACTTAGACACGTGTTCATGAATTAAAGGGGAGGAATGATGGGAGAGGGGTGTGCAGGGTGGAGGGGAATGAAGGGGGGGAATAGAACAAATATAATGGCATAATCAATAAAAAAAGAAGCAAAAAAAATAGATACTTGTGCAAAATATGTAATTTATATACAAATATATTTAAATATATATATTTGTATATATATTTATACCAATATATACACATACATTTGTATAAATATGTATACAAATGTATATGTATATTTAACATAAAGGATACATAAACATAGAATGATAATTTAGAAAATAAATCTAATTTCCTAATTTGCATATTTATATACAGGTACATGTTTATTTTTATAAATATGCACATAAATGAATTTACTATAATTTTATATTTATAAATTTATATAAAGGCATATACCTATATAATATATGACCTATAACATATATAACTTTTTGTTTATCAATTTATATAAAGGACATGTAACTATAACATATAACTATATTTTAAAATTTATATTTATATAAGACATACAAAATTTTATATATCATGTTATATGTGATGTATAATGTATAACTATATATATTTTTTTGCTTTATAACTTTTTTTAAGGTTCATTTTTATATATAAAGGAATCGTCCTCCGACCTACTCTTACCTCTGCCCCAGTTTCTCCGGTCACCCTGGGAGACCCCAGACCACCTGTGCGGTTGTGGGGTGGATGGTACCTACCCTCAGGACTGGTGGTGGTGCCCCAGCCAGACACCCGGCAGCAGGTGCCAGTGGGAAGGTCACTGTGGAAGAGAGGCAGGGTGCGGACGCGGCTGGTGAGCTGGATGGGGGACTGCAGCTCCAGAAGCATGATGTCGTGGTCATGGTTCAGGTGTGTGGTGCTGCTCTGGTACTGAGGGTGGGGGATAGAGCGCACTACGTCCCTCACCTGCTCTCCGGACTCCAGGTGCCACAGGGCATGCTTGCCCAGGTAAACTCTGTACCCACTGTGGGTGCAGGAACAGAATGGTTAGAGGAGAAGATGAACCCTTCCCCAGCTCCAGCCTCTTCCCCTCCTCACCTTCCTCATCGCCAAACACATCTCCTTCCACATCGACTCCCATCCCATCCCAATAATCTACTTCAAGTCCAGTCCCATCCCTAGTCCCCTCTCTCCTGCCAAACCTTATTCTCACCCATTCTGACCCCAAACTAAACTCCAGCCTCATCCTCAAATGCAACTCCACCCAGTCCCGTTGCCATCCCAACCCCATACTCCCCTGGCCCCTACATACTCCTTCAGACAGTGAGCTGCTGTGATGACCCATTTGGGGTGGATGAGGACCCCTCCACAGAGCAGCCGCCCCTCTACCATCAGGGCTGCCTGCCAGGGCTGAGAGTGGGGGGGGCAGGTGTAGCCACCGGGGAGAAACCCTTTGGTCCCATTGGTGCCTTTGAGAATCTTGGAATACTCTTGAGAGAAGCCTGTTGGAGAAGAGAAAATGTTAGTGAACGGGGGTCCAGGCAGAGGAGGAGGCCTGGAGGTGTAGATGCTGAGCTTAGGGGTAGGGTCAGAATGTGCCCTAGGTGACCAGGAACTGAGGATTCATTTCTCGGCCACTGGGAGTTGCCATTTTCCATGGAGTGGAGATGAGTCAGTGCAAAGAGATGACAATGTCCTTTTCCACAGAAGTGTCATATCCTCCATTGCAGCATTGAAGGAAGAGGTCACTGATGAGGATGCTTCTGATAAGCAGACATCTGGCTTTCTCCCCACCTGCACTTTCTCTCATTCCAACATGGGGTGGATTTAAAGAGGCAGAAGTGAGATGGACATACACGACCACCTAGGCACCATCCATCCATCCATCCATTCATCTTTCTAACACCTACATATTGGGTTCCTTTGTGGCTTCAAATAGAATCCATAGGCTAACTCCTCCCAAGTTCAAAGTTTCCAGGACTCTGAATCATTTCACCTTTGCTAATCTCTTTGATCCCATCTCCCACCTCTCTGCTCTTCACTTACTCTGTTTTAGTTTCATGGATCTTTTCTTCAAGCATGCCAGACCATTTGGATTTGCTGCTTCCTCTTTTCCAACAGTTCTTTCTCTAGACCTGTGCTGTTCAATATGGTGGCCACTAGCCACACAGGGCTACTTCCATTTAGATGAATTAAAATGAATGTTAAATATCAAGTTCTCACCCTGGCTGGGATGATGCCCTCAGGGGGTTAGAGTCTCATTCCAACAAACCGAGTTTGCGGGTATGATCTCTCTCTCTGGTCAGGGCACACACAAAAATCAACCAACGAATGCATCAATAAGTGAAAAAACAAATTGATGTTTCTCTCTCTCAAATCAATAAAAAAATCATTCTTCAGCCACATCAGTTATATTTGAAATGCTCAATAACTCCAAGTGGCCAGAGGCCACCATATTGGACACTACAGATATGGAAAGGAGATAGACCTAGTACCTTGTCTGACACACAGTATGTGCTCAGCCAGTGTTAGGCACTGTTTGGCACTGGAAACACAGCAGATGACAGTGGAATAGAGACAGTCTAATCCTGAATGCACTGCTTTCTGGCTGGGTAATCCTGTTATAAGGTGCCAGGCTCAGCTTCCTCAGCTATAAAGTAGGAAAGATGACAGCTTCCTCTCTCATGGGGAAGTTGTAGGATTCGGTAAAATCCTACATCTAAGACACACACAAGCACTCAGTAAGTGGAGAGTGCTATTGTTATTAGCTACAACTGGGGGTCCCTAGCTCTGTGGCCAGCAAGTCCCTTCCAAACCTACATAAGCAGTGGGATTAGCTCAGTGGTTCCCAAAGTTGGGGACAGGAGTCATTGGTGGGTACAAGCTCAATTTAGGTGGTAAGTAACATCACTGCAGCCTCAGAAACCGAGTCACTGTCTAGCTCTCTCCCAATTCTGATTTTATCAAGGAAGAAGTCTCAGGATGATGCCAATATGCTTTTAATACCTGTAGAATCTTTGTTGAGCTTATTTTTAATTTTTTTTGGTAAAGACTTCATTTACTTATTTTTAGAGAGAGGGGAAGGAAGGGAGTGAGGGAGAGAAACATCAATGTGTGGTTGCCTCTTGCCCGCCCCCCACTGGGGACCTGTACTACAACCCAGGTATGTGCCCTGACTGGGAATCGAACGGGCGACCCTTTGGTTCACAGGCCAGTGCTCAATCCACTGAGCCATACCAGCCAGGGCTAATTTTTTTATTTGCTATTTTGTCCTTTCCATTGAATTTATTGGAGTGACAAAGTTAATAAAATTATACAGGTTTCAGGTGCACAATTCTACAACACATCATCTGTACAGTGTATTGTATGTTAACCACCCCAAGTCAAGTCTCCTCCCATCACCATTTACTTCCCCATACCCTCCTCCACCTCTCCCATCTCCTCCCCCCAGCAATCACCACACTGTTGTCCATATTTACGAGTTTTTCTTTCTTTTGCTCTATCCCTCCACCTCCAGTGCTCTCCCCACAGCTGACAGCTTGTTCTTTATCTATGAGTCTGAAACCCCAAATACTAGTTCAGAAGAATATATATATGCAGCCCTATGTTCACTGCAGCATTATTTATAATAGCCAAGATTTGGAAGCAGCCCGTGTCCATCAGTAGATGAGTGGATAAAAAAGTGGTGGGGTGTTTATACAACAGATACTCCTCAGCCATAAAAAGAAGGAGCTTCTACCCTTTGTGACAGCATGGATGAATCTGGAGAGCATTACGCTCAATGAAATAAGCCAGTCAGTGAAAGACAAATGCCATATGATCTCACTCATATGTGGAATATAATGAGCTAAATGAGCTCACTTTTTTAAAACCCAAAGGGAGCAGAATCCTCAGCCTGGAACCTAAAATTTATTAAGTCGAACCACCTACCATTGCTGTTTTGGGAGAGGTTGACAATTTCAGGTGGTCCAACCCAATAAACGTAACATTTTTGTTTCATTGTGCAGGATATTTTTTCTCTTGTATTTATAGCAAAGAATGTGGTTTTCCACTTAGGACAAGGATATAAAATTTTAAAGCAATCTAATTTAAGTTAAAAATGATCGACTCTACGCAGACCATTAAGTCTAACAGGATGAAAATGGGCCCTGGCTGGGTAGCTCGGTCGGTCAGAGCATCGTCCGGATGTGCCAAGGTTTCAATTTCGATCCCTTGTCAGGGCGCATACAAGAATCAACCCGTGGCCCTGGCTGGGGTAGCTCAGTGGATTGACTGTGGGCTTGTGAAGCAAAGGGTCCTCGGTTCGATTCCCAGTCAGGGCACACGCCTGGGTTGTGGGCCAGGTCCCCAGTAGGGGGCGCTAGAGGGGCAACCACACATTGATGTTTCTCTCCCTCTCTCCTTCCCTTTCCCTCTCTCTAAAAATAAATAAATAAATAAATAAATAAATAAATAAAAAGAACCTATGAATCATGCATCAATAAGTGGAACAACAAATTGATGTTTCTCTCTCCCTTCCTTTCTTTCTCAAAAAAAAAAAATCAATAACTGAAAAAATAAAGTAACGAAGAAGGTTTGCCAGGACATAATGTCCAGGATGTGGGGAGCAGGGCAGACAGTGTGGATTAAGATCCTGACTCAGGCACCACTTTGGGGCTAGACTCTTCTGCCAGAGTCTTGGCTTTTGAAGCCATAAAACTAATTATAGTTCACGAACCTCCCAAGGCTGTCGGGGATTCCACAAGCCAATGCATGTGGAGTACCTAGCCCAGGGTGTGGCACCCAGGAGGGGCTTGGGACACGAGCAGGAATCCTGGGAGTGTCTCCAAAGGAGACAAGCCACCCCACCTCCAGGCCAAGGGTGGTGCTGGGTGTCAGGTACCCGTGGACCTCTCCCTCCTCTGGGTCTCAGCTCGAGGGTCTAGTCGTTTGGGTGGGTGGGGGGGCAGGGACACGTGGCAGGGAGCTGTCATTACACCTCTAAGCTCCTGGCTTGGCCCCTTGAAGCCGTCCCCTGTGTTCCAATTGTAACTAATTATCAGCTAATTATTGGGGTAATTGTTGGAATAAATGTCTGCAGCTGAACCGCTAGGCTTTGGGCCCTGAGAGCAGACACTCAGAGTGCTTGCACACACCCAGGACACCACCTGGCAAGCAGCGCTATTATTTTTAATTGTATTTATTGGGGTGACATTGGTTAATGCAATTATATAGGTTTCAAGGGTACAAGTCTATAGTACGTCATCCGTATGAACGAACGAATGACCCGCTAATGGGGGGTTTCCAGGTCGTTTCCAGGGTGACGACCAACTCTGGGGGGAATCAGACAGGTCTAGGGTCACCCCCAGGATGAAAGGAGGACCTTGAAGGTCCTGGAAGGTTCACACAGCTAATGAAATAATAGTGAGGACTAACTTTCCAACCCTTTTATCTGCCAGGCACTTGGCACAGATAGGCGCTGCCTCAATAACTCTCTGTGGAAAGAACTTACATGTTCCCATTTTACAGATGGGACAAGCTAGCCACACAAAAAAAGCGAAGTTACTTGCTCAGAGTGGCAGCGTTAGGATTCGAACCTGTACCTCTGGGACTCCTCTCCCTCAGGAAGCCTATGGGGCCTGGAATGTGGGAGGGGCTGCTGGGCTGGGGGTGGGCTTTCTGGCGTAGAGTAAGACAGAAAAGGGGTTTGGTAGGGACAGTGGGCTGACCCCAGCCAGAAAACCAGGTCACTCAGGGATAAGCAGGAAGCGTTCAGGGCTGTCCCCACGGGACCCTGCCCGGAGTGGGCGGGGAGGCGGAGCTCCCGGCTTCCAGCCCCCTTCCCGAGCCCTGACCCCTCCTACCATTGTCCGGAGGGGCCACCCCGCCTCCACCTCCGCGCATTCTTACCGCCTGACAAGGCCATGGTCAGGAAGGCGATCGCAGTGGCCAGGGACCACATGGCAGACCCCGGGTGGGCGGCAGGGCAGGAGGGGGCCTGAGAAGTTGAAGGAAGGTGTTAAGGGATGGCCAGAACCCCCGTCTCTGACCACCTCCCCCCGCCCCGCCCGCCTTAACTCTGCTTCCCAGCGTCTTGGTGGTGGATCTCTTTCTTTCACTCGGAGAACCTCTCCCCAAACCTATGCGGGGGGCGGGGCAGCGTTTACCCTACCCCCCCCCCCCCAGGTCACTGGCTTGCGGCCCCTCAACCCGGGTAGCCAGCCCTCCGCCCCTGCGCTCCAGCAAGCTGGCTCCTTGGTGCTCCCCGCAGCCCCTCTGCCTGCCCTGCCTCCCCTCCCAGGCTCGGTTCTGACACCTGGTCTCAAACTGAGCTTCCTGTCATTTGGCGGCTTCAGCTCTCGCTCTCTGCTGATTCCTATCTATCACCGAGCCTCCGCTTTTCCGCTCCGTCTCCCTGGCTCAGCTCAGTTCCCTCTCTCTCTTCCCTGCGCCCCCTCTCCCGTGCTGCAGCCCCTGCCCCGGGCAGACCCTACCTGGGAGAGGGGCCTGGGTGAAGGGCGTCTGCGGCCAGCTGCCTCCAACTTCAGCCCCGACCCATGCCTTTTAACCCCTGAACTCCCTCCCCCGGCGCCCTCAGCATTTCCCGGTTGCTAGCCTACCCTTCTCCACCCCCAATGGCTCAGCAGGCTGTGCTAGGCACCCCCCCAGCCTGGGCTTGGCCCTCCGCTTGGGGGTGGAGCTTTCGGGACAAGCTGGGACCCAGATTTGGCCCTGCCCAAAGCCCGAGTTGAACCCACTGCGAACTTGGAGGCAGAAGGGCCCACCTAGGAGGAAGGGGAGAGCACATCACTTCCTTCCCCAAACCCCCCTGACATTCCCTTGCAACATCACCTGAGTGCCAGTCTCCGCTCTCACCCTGGGCACCCTCTTCATCTGTCTCAGCCCTCAGAAGGCCATTTTCTACCCCGTTCCCACCCTCTGCCCCAAGTCAACCAGACCCCTTGCTCCCCGGCCCATCCCTCAAAACCAGAGCCACCGACAGCCTCGTCTCAAGTTTAGCTCTTAGCATCAAGTGCAACACACCTAAATTCCAGTTCTTGGCCTCCTCTCCAGCCCAACTCTATCCTCAGCCCATTTTTTTCAAACAAAACAAAACAAAACAAAACAAAACAAAACAAAACAAAACACACACGCACACAGAAGATGCCCAAACTTATTCTACTATTTGCCCTTCCCACCCCCACCCATCAGGCCCAAGAAGGTGATCTTCAGGTAGATGATTGAACGTCAACTGTCCTTGAACTAGGACAGGGGCATAGATTGGGGCAATGCTTTGGATAAATGGCCTTTGAGGAGCAGGGCCACATGGGATGAGGGAGTCCGAGGGGATGCAGACAGAGAGGGAGAAGCACTGGGGGCTGGCGGGAGGGAAGAGGAAGGAGGAAGAGGGTGTTTTGGGAATGAGTAGGAGTCTCCTGGAAATGTCACTGGGTGAGGCTGAGAGTTAATCCTAGGGGGTGGAGGGGACAGGATTAGGGATTAGGGAGGGTAGAGGTGGGGTCAGAATATGGACGGAAGCCAGGGATGGGGGACCAGAGGAAGTCTGGAAGGAGAGCCGAGGTGTCAGGATTAGGGTAAGGAGTTCGGTCCCTCTGGAGTGAGTTTTAATATCAATACTGGTGTGGTTCACAAGGGGGAAAAACTTAAGTTTGGATACAGGGGTCAAGTCTTGTGTTGCAAGATAATTTTTTAAAAACATTCTAACCATGACTCTCCTACAAATAGAAAATGAACGTATGCCTCAGATTTTGTTTTGACCTGGCTGGGTAGCTCAGTTGGTTAGAGCATTGTCCTGATACACCAAGGCTGAGGGTTCGATTCCCAGTGAAGGTACACATAAGAATCAACCAATGGCCCTGGCTGGTGTGGCTCAGTGGATTGAGCGCCGGACTGTGAACCGAAGGGTCTCTGGTTCGGTTCCCAGTCAGGACACGTGCCTGGGTTGCTGGCCATGTCCCCAGTGTGGGGTTCTTGGGAGGCAGCCACACATTGGTGTTTCTCTACCTCCCTTCCCCTCTCTCTAAAAATGAATAAATAATATCTTTTTTTAAAAAAGAATCAATCAATGAATGCATAAATAGGAACAATAGATCTCTGTTTCTCCCTTCCTCTCTCTCTAAACATCAATAAAAATTATTTTTATTTTTACTCATTAATAAATGATGAAACTAGCAACATGTTACAAAGAACCGCACACATACATATAGGCAATAAGGAATGCTGAAATGAATTTAAAAATAGGTATAAAACCGTCTCATTCTATGTGAGGGAGGATTGTATTTCTACCTGCCAAAACTCATTTGCAGAGTTACGGACAAGAATTATTTGCCTTGCTTTTGGCTAGCTGTAATTTAGAGAGTTGTTAAGCAGCTCAAAGACAGTAATAGAAGCAGAGATCACCCCCAAACCAGAGAACCCATCCAGGCTTCCAACGAGCGCACCTGCTGCATCCCTAATTTTTCCATCCACTAGGAAGAAAAGTTTGTGGTCAGGTTTAGGGTGGGTCTGATATCAGAGAGCTTTGGAGGTGCAAGTGAGTTTTGGGAGAAGAATGGACATGCAGTGAGGATAGGATTGGAGTTAGTTTAGGGGATCAGGTTGAGTTACAGTTGGGAGGGGTTTGGCATTAATTTCCTGTTGGGTTGGGGCTGGAGATGGGGCCAAGACTAACGTTTTGGACTGGGAGGTGTTGAAATACAGTTGAATTGGTGTCGTGGGTTGTCATTGACTATAAGGACTAGATATGAAGTTGAGCATCGGTGTTGATGCTCTCCGGGTGTTGGTGGGAGTGGGCTGGGCCATGGCTGTGAACTCCTCTTGCAGTGACAGAAACCCAATTGTCCTTCCCCACTTTGGAATTCCCCCCACCTCACAGGGCTGGACCCAGAGTGGGTACTAAGTCCATTCTTTTCTGGTGGAGCGGGAAGAGGGAGGATGCAGGGTTAAGTGAGGTGACAGGCTTGTGTAGGAGGAAGTCAGGGTACCTGTGCCCTCTCGTGGCCTGGGTCCACAATTTTACAAAAGCCTTTCTCTCTTGGGAAGGGCTGGGACTTGGAGTGGGGGTGGCTGGCTTTGGCATTTGCTGAGGGGTGAGTGCCAGGTCAATGCTGATATTCGAGCTTACGATTGGCAGGAACTTAACGTTGGCTGACTACCGTTGAAGTGAGGTCATGGACCCACCAAGGGTTGGGCATGTTCCACCCCCTCGTTTGATTGACTGGAGCCCACGGAGGGCAGTGAGGTGATGAAAATCACACACCAGGTAGACCAAGTCTGGGTGCACTGTCTCACACCTGGGGGTAGAGCAGGGCTGGGGAAAGAAGGACTAGAAAAAGGGGACCATGTTCCTAGTGGTTTAGAGCTGAGACTCTGGAGCTAGACTGCCTGAGTTCAAGTAACAAGGACGCTCTGTGCCTCGGTGTCCCCATTTGTGCAATGGCACTATCAATAGCACCTATCACGTAGAGGAGGGTTAAATGAGTTAATATTGGAAGGTGCTTATGCAAGAGCCTAATATGGACCCAGGGCCACATGCTGGCTTATTAAATAAGTAAATCCAGAGATGGAGGCAGCCCGAGGTTCCTGGAAGCCCCACCCTAGTTTGGCTTCAAAATGGGGTTCTTTGTGAGGCAGAAACTGGAAGTTCTGGTTGGAAGTGCCAGCTAGGACAAGAAAGTTGGTCCCACAGCTAGGCCCATAGGAGAGGCCCTGATATGAACTTGACGGGAAGGGGGAGATAGAGAAAGACAGAGGGATAAACACATGGAGGTAGACGATGTGGGTGGGAGAGGATGGGACACAGACAGAGAGACGCAAAGCCACCAACACACAGAGATAGAGAGATGTTCCGGGGAAAAAACCAGACTCGAGATGCAAAGAATCGAGAGCCAGGAATTCCTTACAGCTGGATCTCGGTGTTACAGATGTCGGAGGCCATCTTTGCAGCAATGACAGATCACTTTGCACCCTTCCGATCAGCAAATGCTAGAAAGGTCAGCCTTGCCACCTACCTGCATGTGTGCCCACATCCTCTGTCTCCTCTCCTATGTCTACAGATGAGCAGTCTGCACCTCCACCTAGAACAGACGCCTCCACTCATGCTGGGGATTCCGTCCCCTCTTGTCTTCCTGAGGACATTCCTTCAGACAGCCAGCACTCTCTGCTGCCTTGTCTACATCATCAATTTTTTTCCCCTCCTAGGGAGCTGTCCCCTCAACACACACATATGCTACAATTCCTCCCATGTCCCATTAAAAGAATTTCTAAAGACCCTCTCCTTCTTCATACTCTCCTGGCTGAATTTTTATTCTCCTGGACTACAATTCTTCTCTGAAGAGTTGGCTACACTCACTCTGCAGTTTCTCTCCTCCTGTTCTCTCTCAACCCCCCTCTGCTGGCTTTCTCTCCTACTGCTCTGTCAACAACAGGGGCACTAATGACTGGCACAACCCAGTGGCCAGCCCTGTAGGATGCATCTTGCTGAATTATCAGCAGCATTTAAGAAGTGGATCACCCCCTGTTCCAGCAAAGAGTGTCTCTTCTCAGCCCCTGGGCCATGGCTTCCTCATAACTCACTGGCTGCTCCTCATCCGTGTGTGAGGCTGTTTGCTCCTCACCTCCCCAAGCTCTACATGGTGGGGCATCTCAGGTCCTCTTCTCTGCTGTGTCTCTGATCACTCCCTTGGTGATCTCATCTGGTCTCATGGCTTTAAATACCATCCACTTGCTGATGACTCCCAACTTTGTGTCTCCAGCCAGACCTCATTCTAGAACTCTTGGCTTCGCATCCAACTGCCTACTCAACATCTCCAAGTTCAAAACCAAACTCACGTCCTCCACTTCCCTCACATCCCAAACAGACTCCTCTTGCAGTCTGGGTCTTCTCGGTAGATGGTCTCTCCATCCTTCCATCCCTCGACCCAAACCTCAGTCTCGCCCTTGAATTCCTTTGCTCATACCGCACGTCCACTTGGTTACCAAACCCTGTCAGGTCTGCCTTCGAAACAGATCCAGAATCTGCCCATTTCTCAACACCTTCCATCCTCGCCGCCCTGGTTCCTCCCAGCCACCATCATCTCTCACCCTGGATTATTGTACTTTTCCTATCTGATGGCTCCATTTCTGTCCTTGTCCACCTACATTCTATTTGCAACACAGCAGCCAGACTGACCTTTTAAAAAGTAAGTCAGGGCAGGTCCCTCCTCTTCTCAAAAACACTGCCATGCCTTCCACCTCACTCGGAGTGAAAGTCAAGTTTCCTTAGGGTGGCCCACAAGGCTCAAGACCATTGGACCCAGTAGTCCTCTCCTGTCATCTCCCTCCTCTCCTCCGGCTTTTTTCATGCCGCTGGGCACACTTCCACCTCAGGGCTGTTCTTTACACCGTGGGAACTCTCTTCCCAACCAGATGTCTTGTCTACATGGTTTCTCCTATTCTTGTATCAACGTAAGAAGCATGGGAACCTGTAGAGAATTTCTGGTGAGTTTATTTGAGCCAAATTCAAGTCAGTAGCTGGGAAGCAACATCTCAACAGATTGACAA